CACAAAAAGTAGGTAAGTTGGGCTTCACTGAAATTAAAAACTTGTGTTATATAGATGATACAACCAAGAAACTTAATAGACCATGTGTAGAATGGAAGGCAATGTTTGCAAATCACATATGTGATAAGGGACTTGTGGTTAAGATAGATCTATATATATATAACAAGTGGGCAACAAAAAGTAAAATAAACCAATTTAAATTGAACAAAGGATCTAAATAGACATTTTTCCAAAGAGAGTATACAAATGGGCAGTGAGCACTGAAAAGATGCTCACCATGAGTAGTCAACGAACTGAAAACCAAAACCACAATGAGTATCCCTTCACATTCTCTAGGATGGCTCTAATAAAAATGACAGATGATAGTAAGGGTGTGGACAAGAATGTGGAGAAGTTGGAACTCTCCTTCACTACTAGTGGGAATGTAAATGGTGCATTGTAACAGTCCCTGAAAATGTAACACATAGAGGGACCACATGACCCAGCAATTTCACTCCTTGGTACGCACACAAATGAAATGAAAACATACATCCATGCATAAACTTTTATACAAACATTCAAAGCAGAATTATCCATTAAGAGTCAGGAAGTAGAAACAACCTAAATGTCCATCAACTAATGAAAGGATGAATAAAATATGGCATATTTACAAAATCAAATCTTATTTGGCACTAAAAAGGAATGAAGACTTGACGCATACTGCCACATGAATGAAAGAAATCAGTTACATGACCACAGGCTGCATGACTCCAATTATCTAAACTGTCCAGAATAGACAAACCTGTAGATTCAGAAAGAAGATTAGTGATTTCTCAGGACTAAAGGGGTGAAGCAAAAATAGGAAGTGACTGCTAATGGGCATGAGGTTTCTTTCTGTGATGACAAAAAAATGTTCTAAAATTATACTGTGGTGATGGTTGCATAGCACTGTGACTATACGGAAACCCACTGAACTCTGCATCTTAAACAGATAGACTATATGGTGTGTAAGTTATATTTCAGTAAGGCCCTAAAAAAAGTAAGGAATGGGCAACAACAGCAATGAAGGGTTTTGAATGTTGGGATTAAGTAAGTGTGACAGTGAGTAAGTAATATGAGAATCCAATGGGGTTATGTAACCCCAGGGCTGAGTAGACAGTAGGGGCAAAGGGTGTGAGGTTGACAAAAAGAATGAAACATTGGAGGAAATAAAGATAATGCTGGTCTGGTGGGAAGAGAATGAAGGAAAGAGGAGAGACACCAGATGGTGAGATAGGTGGGTAGGGGCCAGATGACCCAGGCTATGTTCATGACTTTAAACTTTTCCTAAATAGCAATAGGAAGACATTGAAGAGTTTCAACCTGGGGAGTGAAATGATTGGATGAAAATTTTATTTATTTGTTTTTATTTATTATTAGTAGTATATGTTTAGTTTCAGAGAGAGAGGGAACACCAGCAGGAGACAGGGGCAAAGGCAGAGAGAGAGAGAAAATCTTAAGCAGGGTCCACGTTCAGCATGAAGTCTGATGTGGGACTTGATCCCACAACCCTGATATCATGACCTGAGCTGAAATCAAGAGTCAGTCACTTAACTGACTAAGCCACCCAGGTACCCTGGACGTGCACTTAAAAAAGTGGGCTTAGACTGCAGGAAATTGACTTGAGGGGAGTAGGTGGATATGGGAAAATCAGATAGCGAGCCAATGCAAAAGTCAGGGAGAGAGAAGATGTCTGAAAAATCCAAATTGAAGCAGTTTGAGAGGAAAGTGGGAGGTGAGGATGTGGAGACAATTAGCACTTGTATGAAGTTTGGTTGTAAAGGGAAGAGAGATGGAGTTTTAGCTGTAAGGGAATATGAGATGGAGGAAGTTTAAAAGACAAGCATGTTTCAGTGGGAAGTGGAAGACTCCAGATGAGAGAGTTAGTATTCAGAATATGGAGGAGAGAATTCATTGAATCAGGCCCCTGAGAAGGGGGAAGTTAATGAGATCCAGAACATCCTCAGAGGCATATGCCCTCTAGCATAACAGGAGGAAGGTGTGAGACGGTGAGTTTCTAGTTTTGGAGGCAGAACTTCATCCTCCTGCCTCCAATCCTGCACAGCAACCCAGGAGCCAAGGGTGAGTAGATATACTTTAAGAATATGACGTCAGAGGGCAGCTATTAATGAGGAAAATGGGAGCACCCTTAGGGATGATGACAGGTGTTAATGAAGGAGACTGAAACACACATAACTATGCATCTTATATTATACTTCCATCTTACATAATGTTCAGAACGGGAAGTACAGAAAAATAAGTTAAGAGGGAATTGGGATCCTGTACAGGAGAAAGGATAATGAGAACTGTCCAGTTATTTCAAAAGTTCAAGTGTTAGGTCCTGCATGCTGAATTAGCTTAAAGACAATTGAAGAATCATTCCTGACATTAGAGATCACACAGACTGAAATAGGAATCAGGCAGATTGGAAATGGGAAATATTCAAATGTCCTACTTTTAAAAATGAATGAAAGGGGAATGCTAGAAAATGCAGGTGAATCTAATTAACTTTGATCTCTGCAATGTTTGTTAACTTGTACTCCTTCAGAAGCACCAAGTGTTCATCAGGAAATATTTATGCTAAAATACTATTTTTTATGGAGACAGGATCTGCCTCTTGACGTTAAGGTACACAACTGGGAGATTTAAAAAAGTGGTTTACAAAAATAATAGGGTCCCCGAAGGTGCTGATCATGGGACTGCTACACTCTAGAACTGTGTATTTCAAGGGGACACTGGCATTTAGAAAATGGTCACCAATAGGTCTCAGATGAGAACCAGCAGGGATAAGTAAGGAGAGGCCTTGATGAGGCAACAGAGCTATCCTGAAGTATCCTCAAGTATCCTCAAGTATGAGAAGTTCTTGCACATCCAGTCTTTTTTCTATGGTGGTTCAGAATAGAACTTGAAGCATGGGTGGAAAGTTCCAGAGAAGTAGACTGTTGCCTCTCCATAAAGAATACCTAATACCTGGAGGTGTCCAACAATAGGAGCACAAAATGTTGAGAACCCCAGTCCTGGAAGATTCTAGCAGATTGTCGGGGCTATTGTAGGGTCATGTGGATTATATAACCCCAGAGCCTGTTCTTTGAAAATAAATATGTAGAAGAAATGTGACATCGGCATTGATTTTTCAGCACACTCATGCTAGAGATATAGGTGCTGATGCCTACAGATATCTGAATAGCTTCATAGTAAGGTAATGGTAGATCTGAGACTGGACCCAGCTCTCAACTCCCCAAGGTCTGATCACTGCTATTTCTCCACACATTAGCCTTTCCTGTGATGAGTGATTGCCTTTCCTCTCTGGAATTTCAAATTGAGAATTCTAGAATGAAACCAGACCATTATTTACACCACATACAAAAGTCAACAAAAAATGGATTAAAGACCTGAATGTAAGACCTGAAACCATAAAACTCTTAGAGGAAAACATCAGGGATGAGCTCCTTGACATGGATCTTGGCAATGATTTTTTTGGATTTGACACCAAAAGCAAAAGCAACAAAAGCAAAAAGAATCAAGTGGGACTACAGCAAAAGAGAAATCTTCTGCACAGGTAAAGAAAACCATCAACAAAATGAAAAGGCAACCTGCCAAATGGGAGAAAATATTTGCAAATCATATATCTGATAAGGGGTTAATATCCAAAATATATAAAAAACTCATACAACTCAACAGACACCAAAAAAAACCCCTGATAATCCAATTAAAAGTGAGCAGAGAGGATCTGAGTAGACATTATTCCAAAGAAGACATACAAATGGCTAACAGGTACATGAGCAGGTGTGGGACATCATTAGTCATCAGGGAAGTCCAAGTCCAAATCACAATGAGAGATTACCTCACATCTGTTAGAATAGCTATTATAGAAAAGAGATAACATGTGTTTGTGAGGATGTGGAGAAAATGGAACACTTGTGCCCTGTTGGTGGGAATATAAATTGGTGCAGCCACTGTGAAAAACAGTATGGAATTTCCCCCCAAAATTGACAGTAGAACTACCATGATCCAGCAACTGCTTTTGGATATTTATCTGAAGGAAACAAAAACACTAACTCAAAAAGATATTTGCACCATATGTTCATTGCAGCATTATTTATAACAGCCAAGACATGGAAACAACCTAAATGGTTAACAATAGATGGACGGATAAAGAAAAGGTGTTTTATATACAAAGGAATATTAGTCACGGAAAAGAAGGAAATCTTGCCATCTGTGACAACATGGATGCGCCTTGAGGGCATTATACTAAGTGAAATAAGTCCGAGAAAGACAAATACTGTATGATCTTACTTATATGTGGAATCTAGAAACAAAACTCAAAGATACAGAGATTAATGGTTGCCAGAAGTGGGGGTGGTAGGCAAAATGGATGAAGGTGACCCAAAGGTAGAAAGTTCCAGTTATAAGACAAAGAAGTCCTGGGGATGTAACACACAGCACTGTGACTACAGTGAACAACACTGTTTGCATATGTACTTGAAAGTTGTTAAGAGAGTAAATCATAAAAGTTTTCATCACAAGGAAGATGAGTTTTAATTATGTGTAGTGATGGATGTTAACTAGTTGTGGTAATCACTTCATAATATATATATATTTCAAATCATTGTATTGCACACCTAAAACTAATATGTTGTTAAATGTCAATTATATCTCAATAAAAAAGAAATGAATAACAAATAAAAATTCTAAATCCCTCACTCATGACTTTCAGGCCACATGCTTTCATGAATGTCCACTACTCATTCCAACCATGGCTTGGATGAAACCTGCAGCATTGGCCTTGAAATTCAGGGGCCCTGTGCATTTGAGCCCTGGCCCACACAGATAAGGGCTCTGTAATCTCTGGGGAGGTTGCTCCCAGGAAGAGAGTCTTGTGTACAGTTCCTGGAGGAAAAGAGGAACTGTGCTCTTAGAAGGAAATGATTCTAAACCTGCCATGTCTTACCTGGACTCTGGAGTCTGCTCTACTTCTTGCTTCAGTTGTACATGACCAGGTTCATCCACTGAGAAATAAGCATCATTATTATGACTTATCTTTACATTTGTCAGCTTAATACAGAACAGGACAAATGGTACCCTCTTCCCTCGAAAGATCTCAGTCTAGTCTCATCAAACCTTTCCAGCTAATTTGAACCCCTCAGGAGGCCTCAACCTGCCCATCACAGTATATCTTTTGCTACTCTCTGAGTAGCTAAGCAGTGAGAGGGATGGCTGAGGTCGACCAGCTGGCTGGGCCAGGAGGCTCTTTCTAAAGCTCAATGGGCGTAACTTTAATGTACAGTGAGCTCAGCAGGTGTTCTTCAGTTCCCTCTTGGATTTATGACTCCCACATAATCCTCTGCTTTATTAAGCTATTGGAAAAAAAATAAAATCTGTCTGCCAAGATCCTAAAGCAGCCTTGGCAGCCGGCAATATATAAAGGGAGTAATTGGAGGCAGGGGGGCAGGGTGCAGCTTGGCTGGTCTTTGACAAACTATCCAATATCCTCAGGGAGAAAAATGCCCCCTGGAATCAGGAGAGGAGGGGTGACCTGGGGCTGTGTCCTGTGTCTAGGAGGAGAAGGTACCTCACCTCCATTTTTGTCAGGTAGAGTCCTTTTCCATCATTGGAGAGGTTCTGGAAAGTCTCTAAAAAGGAGGAGAGGAATCAATACAGGCCAAGGGAGATAAAAGCAAATATGGTGATTCCAAGTATTCTTTCACTCTCTGCAGTATGCCTAGCCTCCCTCCTGGTCTCTTCCCAGGAAACCTCACACTGTGGGTCAGCCCAGAGCTCACCTCCTCAGAAGAGCTATCACTGCTCTGGCCCACACTCACCTCTTGCTCTTACAGTGCCCTTTCACCTTGCACTCTTCTACACATGGCCAAGGGGATGTGTGGGCCCATCTTATAAAATATTACACAGGCATAGTTTGTGGAACTTCTCTTGTCCAACTGAGAATTCTCTGGAGGTTTATGCCTCAGCCTTATTTTCTGTGCTCCCAGAGCTCTATTCCCTCAGTCTTTATTAACCACCTAGCTCAGAGCTGGGGGGTTAGAGGGATGCCTCATGCCAGGGATGGGGTAAGGATTAAGATGAGGCCAGACCCCACAAGTCTTGAGCTATAGTATGGCTTGGGATTTCACATAGGATTATATTATGAAAAAGGAGTAGTCTGCTAAAGTGTCCAAATGTCTGACCTACACAGTCAAATTTCTAGAGCCTTGGGAATGCCCTCCTGCCCCCACTTATTCACCTGTGTGTGAATACTTTCAGCAGAGACCCCAGTCATTCACTGCAAGATTATAGAGTAGGTTTAATTACTCTCATGGAGAAGGGACACAGTGAGTTAAATGAACCTGGTTCCTGAAAAAGGCACTAAATAGGGAATTGAGGAAATGAGAGACCTAAGATGGAGGAATGTCCTGGACAGAAAGGGTACAGGATGTAGGCACCCAAGCCGATTACACCATTCCACAGACTAATGTTGTTTCTGCCTCTGGGAGCACAGGGTCCTCACGCAAGACACCAGCCCATCCTGCTCCTGAGGCCTTCCCTGAACCTGGGACAAGAGTGCATTCCTGGTCCTCTCCTGTGTTTTTTGGTCGTTGTGAAGGTTTACAGGATATCCCCCAGGTGACACTTACTTGCCATGGCTTCAAGTCGCAACAGGAAGCAGACCAGGCTGGGGAAGCTGACCCTGCCACTGTGGTCACTGTACCGGAGGGTCATGAGATCCAGCAGCTCATTGCTAATGGAGGTTCCTGCAAGGAAGTCTGGGCCATGGGATGAGCTAGTGAGTGGGAGGAGGCTGAAGTAGGTCTGGTCCTCTCATGTGCAAAGTCTGAGAAACCTGCTCAGAGTGGTGGCCTTCCACCACTGTTTCCTACTAAGCCTGGCTCAGGGGTCATTTCATTCCACTTTGTATTTTCTTAAATTTTTTTTTTTTTTTGTGAAAGAGAGACAGAGGCAGAGTGCAAGTGGGGGAGGAGCAGAGAGAGAGACACACACAGAATCTGAAGCAGGTTCCTGGGTCCAAGCTATCAAAACAGAGCCTGACACAGGGCTTGAACTCCTGAATCATGAGACCATGACCTGAGCCTAAGTCAGACACTCAACCAACTGAGCCACCTAGATGCTTCATTCCACTTTGTGTTTTTATGGTTCTCTAGTTGCTGCCTTCTTGCTGGCTGCTGGGCCCCAATGACATTGTTACAGAGTTTGGCCAGATATCAACTAAAGATACTCAAGACACGAACTGGGCTGGGGACAATTATCTGATAATTCCGGTGTGAGATGGGAGCTTCCAGAACACCTGGGATTTACTTCTAAGCCCTGCTTCTGCCATCCATCTCTCTGTTGGTGACCATGTAATACAATCTTGTTCCCCAACCCTATGACTGTGTGTGGATCTTACAGTGTGAGCAAGTGTGGTTCCTGGAAGTGAGAGGTTCAGTCCCAAGTTGCTTGACCAGGAAAGAGGCTGGTCCTCAGAGGGGAGAACACAGTCAGAAGACAGCCATGGGTGGGCACGACAGAGGTGCCTTGCTCTCTTTGGGCCTTCTTGTCCTGCATGTTTAGTTATGAGCTCTGGAAGGTGTCAACTGCATAGCAAACAGCAGACTAGCAAATGGCCATGTCTGCAAGCTTCGGTGGACCAACAGAACCTTGCAAGCCCAACTATCCATCAGGGGAATGAGCCTGGTGGCCTGTGGGCCCCATGCACCAGAGACATTTGGTTTCTCCAGCAGAATTTAAAAAATGTGAATTTGAATGCCTTTAGATAGGATATGTAATCTCCACCTTGCCACATTCAGAATCGCCCTCTTTTCTTGGGGTTAGCTCCATTAACCTTTTCAGTTATCTGCTTGGTCCTTGAAGACTTTTTAGTTGGATTCCAACTATTCTCTATCTTTCTCCCTTTTATTATTCTGGAGTTGTTAGTGTGATTTCATTTTTCTGTAGCTATTCAAGGATTCTTGAAGTGTGGTCCCCAGATCAAGAGCATCAGTCTCACCTAGGAACCTCCCAGAAATATAAATTCTTCAGCCCCACCCAAGCTCTCCTGAATCAGAAACTTTGGGTGAGGGATAAGGCTAATCCATCTGTGCTTTAACAAGCTTCCAGAAGCTTCCAGGTTTGAGAAGCTCTCTACCATCTGTGGACAGATGCTAAGGCAAAAAGATGCTTCTCCCTGTCTCCAGGCTGGGAGCCACCAGGGAAAGAACCACAGAGCCCCTCTTTCCCCAGAATTTACCTGGGGGGAATCTGATCTTACATTTTCCCAAGGAAGGTGGCAGTTTCTGGACTTAACTTTTGGTGATCCATTTCCCCCACTGGTACAAGGCAGATAATGACTCCTGATCACAGAATAGTTGAGACAATCAAATGTGATGACAGGAGTACAGGTTCTCCCTGAACTCTGAAGTTCTTAGGTGCCCTAGGGTATGCTTATCATCATCCCAGGACTTGCATTCTTGAAGCAGACAGATGTCATTTGATTTCATTTAGCTCCAAACTCTCTGTGAGGACAGTACATCCACCTGCTCATGAGTGATTAACCCTGACAGCCAGATGTTGACATAGAAGTGTCTCTAAGGCAACCTTGAATTCTGGTAGGGTATCAATCACGTGGGGTTATTTTCCCACAGTTAGAGCTGTTCAGGGACAAAAGGCAGTTGGGAAAGTTGACTGGCACATGGAAACTCAGGTTGGGGAGGATGGAGACTAAGTCCTGAGCCTGGAGGCCCACAGATACCGGTGTAAACCAGGACATGGAAGTTGCCACTCTGTTTTCTCCTGACTGGGCACTGCTGCACCAGCCTTGCCTACAGCAGGCTAGGAGTGTGCATCTCTCTCTCTCTCTCTCTCTCTCTCCCACACACACACAAGCGTACCCCCCCCTCATCACCTGCCTCAGTCATGACAGCCCCCAAGGGGTCCCTGCTTTACCTGTATCCTTTATAGCCTTCCACAAATCCAAACTCAGGAAAACCCCAGAGCACTTCTGGATGTTCTGGAAAACACTCTGATTTGGGAAAAGAAGCAAGAAGTCCATGTGAGTGCCACTGCCCACCTTAAAGAGGATGTCCTGGGCAGAGAGAGTTCTCAGAAACCCCTTTTGCATCCCTGCTTCCATAAACCTTGAGTAGATCCAGCTCAGAGGTGGCTCAGATAAGGTGGGGGAGAGGCAGGAGTGGGCTCTGCTCAGTGATGCCGATCACCCTGGCCGCCAGCTGTGGGGCCATGGGTTTCCCTACCAGGCCTGTGCCTTCCTCTCTTCTGACCTCCTGTCTTTCCTTCCTCACCTCCTAGACTAGCCTCCTGACACATGGCAGCTTGCTGCATTTGGGAGGCATAGAGCTCTCTAAAGACTTTGCATAGGGTGGTGGTTAAGAGCGCAGACTTGGCAACCAAACATCTGGGTTTAAATCCTATTTGACTTGACTATTTACCAGCTGTGTAACCCTGGGCAAGTTACTTAATCTTTCCAGGCCTGTTTCCCCACCTGGAGCACAGTGATAATAACAGCACCAGCCTCCTAGGACTGTTGCTCAGGGTCAGTAAACAAGTCTGTATAGAGTTCCTAGGAGAGCGCCTTGCACAGTAGTGAGCGCTATGTGGCCGGCAGGCAAGGACTCTAGTTTGTATCCTAGTGCAGCTGCAGGAGGGAGTGACTCTAACAGCTCAGCTTTGTAGGGGCGGCTCTCCATGCACCTGGGACTCTTCTGCCTCTCTCTAATTCTCCCAGAGCCCTGAGCAGCACTGCACTTCCCAGGTGAGGAAACAGGCACTTGGGCGGGTGACTTTCTGGGAGTCGGCATGCAAGTGCCACGCGACTAAACTTGAGCTCCCTGTCTGGGCCTGTGCCCAGCTGCCCCACAGCAGCTGACCTGAGGCAAAATACCCCCAGCCCGTGTGCGTCCTCCAGGCGACTGGAGGAAGAATTACTGTGAAATAGCAGCCCTTCTTTGACTTTTGGGGAGTATAAAAAAACTCTCAGTTGGGATTCACTTGCTCATTTGGTCATTAGTCTGGTCATTGGTTCAGCAGTTTTGAGAGCCTATGGTGGACTAGACACTAAGAAAGGCATTGATGGAAGCAGATGACAATGAGGAAGTCCTAGCCTGCAATCTAATTGGGGGACATATCAGCCATTCCAGTGCCCTGAGGGAAACCAAATGAACCCAAGCCAGGGATGAGGTGACACACCCCGGTATAGCCACATGAGAGTGCTTCACCTTATTATTCTGGATTCAGGTGTTAGGACCTAAGGGAGAAGCACCCAGGCCTAGAGGTGGCAGTCAAGGCCTCACAGGGAAGTGTTTCTTGCAGCTGGACAATCAGTGGGGTAAGCACTGGCCAGGCTCTATGTCACACAGCCAGGGTTTGAAAAAAGTGAGTGGGATGAGTACGAGGGCTTCTCCTGGGCCTCAAAATAGGGTCTCAGCTCAAAAGGCTTGTATACAGCTCTGATGAGTTCAGACCTCATCCTGAGAATGACGGTGAGGCCGCAGGCCATATCTGTGATTTTGTCATATCTGGCAGGTAGACGGAAAGGGAATGAGATGAACTAGCATACTGGGGGAATGTCTCTGGGGCCCAGGGAGGACTGAGAAGGGCAAAGCGGGCTGGTGGCTTTCCTATAGTCCACGGTGACCCTTCTTTCCTCCAACCTCCTAGAACATTCTTCACCCCACCACTTGCTCGCTCATTGCCTTGTGTCTTCTAGTGGTGCGTGTACGTCTCCCTGAAATGTGGCTCCTTGAGGGCAGGCCTGGTGGGTTCCTCTTTCCTGCCCCTCAATCCCGTGCAGTTCAGGCCTCAAACATATTTGCTAAACTGGACAAAAAGAGAACATGTCGGTACCTGGCACTGGGCAAGACGGCTCCACAGCCTTGAAAACTCCTCTTGCTCAAGCCTCCCATTTGCTTTCAGCTGGTGGGGAGTTAAGAGTTAACCATGCAGCGTGCAGGGAGCAGAGGCCCTGCCGACAGAGCCAGGAGCTGTTCCATCCATCAACCAGTCTAGTGTCACCTGGACATGGCCCCACAGCAGCGGGCTACCACTGTGTCTGAAAGGGACCTGGCTTAGCTTTAATTTACAAAGGAAAATGGACAATTAGAGGGAGAAAGAAGCCCTGAGAAAAGGAGGCCAACATCACTTGCATCCAGGGGAAGAGAGAGCCCCAAACACAGCCTGCACCGGGAGGGGTGAGGCCCCTGGCAGGGGGGAATGAGGAGGAGCATGAGCGGTCATTGCAGTCCCCACAGCAGCATGAAAGACGAGTGTGCACAGGCATGAATGGCATCAGAGCCAGCCCTGATCACCCCGTAAGATGGGTTTAGTGAGGAAAAGAATCTATCTCTGAGGGGAGTGGTGGGTGGGTAGAAGGAAGAGTAGAACAGATGTGTCTGCTTTGCAGGGGTAAGGCAGACCCAATCTCCCCCAGGGCCACCTGCCCCAGTCTGTGAGGTGCTATGGGCCACTTTTATTCATCGGTGGGGGGTTGGGCAGTGTCTCCAAGTAAGTCCAAACCACAGCCAGCAGAGACAGGGCCTGATTTATGACTTCATCAAGAAGCTCTCTTGTTCGACAATGGCCAGCCTCCCATTCCCAATCGGGCCTTGTTAACAGTGAAGGAACAGAGGTCTGTCTCACTCCAGAGAGGCTGCATACACAGAGGGACAAGCCTCAGAGCAGCAGCTGGGGTGCATGGCAGTCTCTCCTACCCGTTCAGAGATGGGACGGCAGGGGAGAAATGGCTCATCAGAGGAAGAAGTCAGGGCAGGAATCAGGAGACCTGGATGTTAGTCCCAACCCAGCCACTGGTGTCTGTGGAGCCCGGGCATGTCACTGGACTACTCTAGCCCCAGCCTCCACAGCTGCAGTCTGGTAGCAATCATGGAGCACGGCTGCTGTGTAAAGCATTTTCTCCAAGTTTCAGTGGTTGTTATCTTTACTTAATGGGGGCTTGGTGAATAAGGAACTTAATGAAGACTCAACCAATGGCAAAGGGAGGGGTAGAAGAAAAATATCGCCCACTGGTGCTACAAGGAGGTAGTGTAGAATGATGTAGGACATGGACTGTGGAGGTTGAAAAGTCTTCAAACCCAGGCACAGACGGGCTGTGTGATTACTTAACAAATTACTTAACCTCTCTGAACTCCTTCTCTTTACTTCGTATATCATGGGGGTTTTTGCAATAACTACAAGGAAAAGTCTATATGCCTGTACTATTCTTGGTATGCCATAGATACTTGATAGATGGTAACTATTGTCACTGTTGCAGTGGTTGTTCCGGAGGGTCTGGAATCCACAGGCACCCAGGCTCTCTGGTGAGCCCTTAGAACTGAAGAAGAGAGAACACTGAAAGTAAAAAGAGTTCCTAACATCCTAGTTAGACCCTTGGGGAAGCCCACAGAGCAGATGGGCTCTTATGGCTGCAAGAGGAGTCAGGGTGTGGGGGACTGCAAAAGATACATCCATCAGGGCCACGATGCTCCGGCACTCATCCAGAGAGAACATGTCCCCTGGCGTTCCTGGGGGCAGAGAACAGGAAGGATGGAAATGTCAGGGATGGGGGTGACACTAGACTGGCTCAGCAGTGGGGATGAGGTTGGGGCCAGTAATCATGTGGGTCTGACCTTACCTCTCAGGAGCTCTTGGTTGAGAAGGCTCTGAAGCTGAGTGGCATCAATGTCCAGCCCCTGATACAAATAAGAGAGGAACGTAGGAATCCTATCAGTGCTCAGGAGCCAAAGGGCATACTGCCTTACTCTGTAAAAGCACTCAGACTTCTAAGCCCTTGCTTCCTACCCAGGCCCCATCTAGCCTTTGCCACGAAGCCTTTCTCAATGGTCCCAAACATGGTGATACCCCTCCCCTGAACATCTGTAATTCTCATCACTCCAGACACTGGATACCATGTGTGGGTCACCTTGCATTTATCTCTTCATTTATTATGGGGCTGACAGCAGTAGTTCCTTCCTCCCCACCTTACCTGGCATTTAGGAGCCCCTCAGGAGAAGTGTTGTTGAATGAATCAACTCAGCCCTGTAGGTGTGTTTCCCCATCTGCTTCCCAGAAGGTATATAGAGAAAACGTAACTATTGAATGTGTAAGCATGAGTGTAAGTGTGTGTGTGTGTGTGTGTGTGTGTGTGTGTGTGTGTGTGTGGCAAGAAGAGATGAAAGTGCCAAGAATCTAGGCTAAGGAAAGCCTTAGCCTAATTGAGCACATTACTTAGCATTAGTCTTCCTAGCTACTGAAGCAAAAAGGAAGACATGGTTTTTCTTGGATTAAAAACAGGAAACAGTGGAGGTTGAGGGGAGGGAAACTTTTCCCAGGCTGAACTTCTGAAGTTGTTAACTGTATTCGATTTTCTCCTAGGGACATTAAGCAGCTTTATGGGCGGTGTCTTCCATGATGATTCTATAGAGAAGCAGAGCTGTGCTGTTCATGGCCATTTCTTAAATGTAGGCTGGTAAAAGCTGAAGGGGTGATGTCATATCACAACAGCACCCTGGGAAAGCTTTACATGGGGAAGGGAGCCAGAGTGAGGTCCCTCATCAGGTGGCGTTGCAGAGTGTTACTGTGTCAGGTAGTAGAAGGTGTCTCATTGGGTTCTTCCAAGGACGAGAATCCCATAGGTGACAGGCACGTTGTCTCCAGGGATGGCCTCACCACTCAACTGAAGGCAAAAGCATCCCCATAGTCTGTCCTCATGGGAGAATCCCTCATCATGCCCCCAAGGAAAACATCCTAACAGTGTTTGAAACTGGCTCTCAGGTCATCCCTCCAACATCTCATTGACTGGGTTATATTAGGAAAATCAGAATTGTGTGCCCACTAGCAACAGAGATTTTTTTCCTTAAAAGAATCGTGGCACCCAACTTGCAGAGCAATTGGTAAAGAACTCTAACTTACAGGGAAAATAAGTTACCAACTAGAATATAAGTGGCTTTGGGACATGGACAGTGTTTCCTCCCTCCTCCATGTCTCTCTATCCTAGGACAGCTGCTGACTTGAACCCTGCACCCATGAACCACCAAAATGTTTGAGGAGATGAGGAATAGAGATGAAGGCTGCCTTAAACAAATTCCAAAATAATTGCACATTTGTCTCTACCACCCCAATGTAGGATTCCTAAAGGAACTGATGCCAAAACTTTGTGTGGTACTTGGAATGTCCTAGGTATTTTGTGTATGTTTGCCAGCTGAATATATGGTGGACAGATGGACATGACCTGACTCAGAGGCTGAGTAGGTCATTCCTTTCTGCCAGGCAGACTCAGGTTACACTACCATCACCACTATCATGGCTGATGAAGGTAGCTCATGGTAGTGGTAGTGGTAGTAGGAATCACTGTGTTCGCTTGAGGCTAGTTAAACAGATACAAGAGATCAGGAGGGAAAGTTGCTTTCAACTTTCCTTTGAGGATACAGCCTCTGAGGACTGTTTACAAGCTATGCAGAATTATCCCAGGCTGGCCCTGTTCAGGGGTAGCCAGCCAAGGTCTGAAAAGGGGCTGCAGTCCCATTTGTTTCACTTCCAAGCTGTGCACCTTGGCACAAAGCTGCATGTGTCTTTTACTTTAATTCTTACAAAGGCCCCATATGGGCTTCCAGTTATCCTGTGAGGAGACATTTGGTTGTTATTTGGAAAAACCCTGATTAGGGAATCTGTACCATTTGTCATGTGACAAATTACATTTTTTATTTCAGATGTGCAGGTGCATGAACCATGTTGAGGATTTTGCCATCTGCCCCTGAAGGAAGATAGGTCTCAGGTCTCCTAATTAGGTCCTGTTTGTTGCCTTGGGGCGGTAAACTTAGTTTGGACATCTGCTCTGGAGAAGCTAATCTGTCTTAATTCAATGTAGATTGACTGAGCACCTTCTCTGTGCCAAGGACAGTGATAGGTACTGGGGACAAAGAATGCATATGATGCCATCCCTTCCTCCAAGAGCTCGCAGACTGAGGATTATCATCTGGGCAAACCCTGTCTTGCATCAAGTGAAGCGCCTTCTAAATCAGCCAGATGTGGACCTAAATCCTGGGCCATCATTGATTTTAAGGAGGTCCATATTGAGCGGCTCCTCGTAACACTTTCCCCTCATGACAGCCACATTCTTCATCTCTCCTTGTTTTTTCCTCTGGGCCCAGGATGCCTGAATAATTTCCCTTTCAGCAGCCTCCTAGTTACCCCATTAGCCCTCTGAATACCTGGCATCTTTCCTGTCCTTGGCCTCTGCCTGGCCTAAGGCCAACACGGGACACATGATATCTATCCATCACTTTGTACTTCCCAAACCAACATGACTATTAATGGCAAAAAGCCCATTGTACAGAGCCGTTGGCAGATGTTTTTATCCTGGCAAGTCAAGGAGTTCTTTATAACGGTTTATTAAACCATTAAGAAAATCCTCTGTGCACCTATGTGGCTTGGCAGGAAAAACATCATTGGTGCCTTCAATGAAGCTGGCTAGCTCCCGTGAAGAATGATGTCAAGGTGGGAGTGGGAGGCAGAGGAGGAGAAGGAAAGATTTCAGGGGGCATTGCCAATTATTGTTTAAAGATTTAACCTCAGGGCGCCTGGGTGGCTTAGTGGGTTAAGCGTCCGACTTTCGCTTAGGTCATGATCTCGCGGTTCGTGGGTTCAAGCCCCGTGTTGGGCTCTGTGCTGACTGCCAGCCCAGAGCCTGGAGCCTGTTTCAGAGTCTGTGACTCCCTCTCTCTCTGACCCCCGCCCTGCTCACGCTCTCTCTCTCCTAGAAATAAATAAAACATTAAAAAAAATTAATAAAAAAAATAAAAAATAAAAAAAATAAAGATTTAACCTCATCCCATAATTAGCCCCATCCTTACCAAGCTGCACATTCCATCTCAGATGTTACCTAGCTCCAGTTTGGTATTCTATCAGTTCTGGAGACATACAGGGAGAGAGGCTGATAAAATGACCAACTAACTCACTTTTTTTCTCTGTATCTTGATAAGGGCCTGGGAGAGGTTTCCTTTCCTCTAGTCCCACCATCACTCGTCCCCGTGCTAAAGACTGTACCTGGTGAGCATATTTGTGGAAGATGCTTTCTTGGGAGTCATTTTCCAGAAGACTTGCCTGGATCAAAGGGAAAATAGCCAACATCAAATTTCTGGGGAAGGAGGCTACCTGTCTGGTACAGCGAAGGCACAAGAACCACTCCCTACACCTAGATCTGAGACAGAGGTTTTATCTAACAATTGAATAAAATGTGTAGGGGAATGAAGTTTGTGGAGGAGGACTGGTTCCAGTATGACCATGCAGACTTGGTCTTTCCCCACTGCCCTGCCCCTCTGAGCCATCACTGGCCCATTATGGTGTCTCTGTTCTCACTGGTCAGTGCTTTAAGGGAAGAGAGGAGACAGAAGCTCTTGGGGATGGGATGTGTCCAAGGAAGCTTGCCAATCAAACCTTGCCACATACCTACCTCTAGTGTTGTAAGGCTGAAATTGCTGCTCAGGTTCCTAGAAAACCAGGGAAACAGTGTGACAAAGGATGAACAGCTCACTATTTAAAGGAGGCTTGCACATGGAGGACAACAAGGTGGCATTGGACATTTAAACCAAGGATCTGAGTGGAGAGGCCTCAGCACAGTAGGATGTGAAGTGGGCAGCCTTGCCAGTCAGCAGACAGATAAGCACCATAACCATCTGTCTCATCTTTTGATTGGGCATCATCTGGTCTTCAAATTATTTAGCAATTTGTTCCATTCACAACCAGATACACATGCACACTGACCCCCATTGCCAAGATGGCAGATAAGCTTTCTCTTACATTCCAACTCTGGTGGTACAGTGGCTATCTGGCATACTGGACTGAGGTCTCATCCAAGCTCGACTGTAAAGATGGCCATGATGATAGCAATGCCTGCCTTGCGTTCAACCTGGGATAAGGTGCCCAACAGGGGTATGTACTTGCTGATCCCAGTTTTGACCACTGACTTAGCACTAAAGACACTCCATGATTGGACTCTGTCTCTCAGACCCATATTTCACTGTCTCCCTGATGTACCCCACCTTCTGGTCACATTTCAGATAACTGCTTGCCATGCCATGAGCCACCTTCCTGTGCATATGGCTGACATCACTTATATTTCAGTAGGCTCTATGCTCACCCACTTCCCTAATTCTGCTCATCCTTCTTTATTTAACCTGCACCACCTTTTCCTTTAAACATTAGATTATGTTTCCCATCAACAAATAGCAAAATGCCTTCCTCAATCCCTCTTGCCAGAGGTAGGTCCTGTTACCCTGTCCTCACATGTTACTCTGCACTTCCACTGAGCAATGGCCACATCCTGCTCAATAATCTACTTATTGGTACACATTCTCTTGCCATCCTTTGTAGTGGGCTTCTTGCAAGTAAGCCCATGTCCCAACACAGTACATGATGCACAGGATGACACACTGTGTTCTTATAAATTTAAGTGAAATAAAACATTTCGAAACCCGGAGTTTCTGTACCTGTCACCATCTGGCATTTTCAGGAAGATCCGGAGCAAAAACTCAACTTCTCTGTATGCGGAGATGACCACCACGTAGGTCCCAGGGCTCAGACTAAAGTACTTTGTGAGGTTACACTTGGTTTTAGAAACTATGCCCTTGACGGCATTTCTGAACTGAGAAAAGAAGGTGGGTGGCAAGCTCTTCCAAAAGGACTGGAACTGGAGGAAACATGAAGATGGTCAGAAAGCCCCTTGCGTGCACGGGCCCAGAAGAGCCCACCACCTTCCAGACGCTGCACTGTTCACCAAAACAGCATTACAGGCTACGAAAAGGGAGGCAGTGCTTATCTGGACTTTCAAAATGCAACAGAGTTCAGATTGTCATTTAATAGAGAAACTGACACCACAGTGAACATTAAAAAATTACAGCACACAGTTTCACCTCATTAAACCCACAGTAGCCTGGATTTTGGCATTTATGCCTCTGCTTATATATAAAGACTAGTGAAGCTGGTCCAACACTGAATGACTTTTGGAGCCCCTGAAGCCCCTTCCCTCCAGAACCTTCTGCAACACACTTTGGATTGTATATAGCACAGGAGACTTGGACTCCTTTATTCTCTCCATTTCATTCCCAGCAGAGCCCTAGAATTCCTTCTCATTGGAGAATAATAGGCCCTGATCATTTTCCTTTTATTTCAATATTTTCTTAGAGATAAAACAATAAATATAATGCAGTTCCCATTACCAGATGTCACATACATATTACATAATAAAAACCCCTTACTAAGTAAATTTTCCCCCATACAGTCAAGCATGGGGATTCCATCTAGAATGGTTATGTGGCGTGAAATGATTATTTGTGAGCTCTGCCTTGGGGAAAAACAGGGAGAAAGGGAGAGTTTCTTTTCAAGGGGTGGGGACAGGGCTGAGATCTCTCGTAAGACGAGATGGGGGATAGGTCACTGTCCCAGGTGGGCAGAAAGAGCTGTGTGAAACCTCTAGTGACTTTGCTTACACTTAACAGTGGCCCCAGCAGGTTTGGAGCCTCACTTGCTTGAGCCTTTCTGGAAAAAGCAATGGTGAGAACCATTCTTCTCCAGAAAGCCAGTACTGTCTTGTGGCTCTGGGTGTGTGTGTGTGTGTGTGTGAGTGCATGTGTTTGTACAGAAGTGGGTATGCCTCCTGTAGTCCAAAATTTCCCTGCTTCCCTGCTCTCCTTCCTAGACCGGACTCTTGCAGTCTTTTCCAGGCTGTCTATATTTCAGAGCAGATATGCTCAGTGGCAGCAAGAAGCGTGAGTATGTGGCAAGATGGTCTAGCTCTCAGAGAACCCAGCATCAAATTAACACAGGCCTAACCCTGTAGTTCTAGGGGTGGAGCTTATGCATTTTCCTGGGTTGAGTCCCCATTCCTTTCTCCATTTCTGGGAATTAAAACACTGATCTGTTCCTTGTACCCGAGTGCTTCCCTTTGAAGCCCTTCCAGAAGCTCCACTTCCGCGAACATGGTGGCTGAAAACAAAATCGGATCCTAAACCCAGCTCTGGGGCTGGACCACTGGTGTCAGGGGCCTCCTTGCTGCCCACTTTCTGCCTGGCCTTCTGACTATCGCCTGCTTGGAGACACCCTGTCCTGGCCTCTGTTTACCTATTGGGGAGCTCCTGGAAGGCCTGAGGAGCTTCCCTGGACCTACCAGCATGCTACAGGGACTACCCATTGGCTGTGACTTTATCCTGCTCCTTCTCTGCCATTCTTGGTCCCGTATCTGCCCCGGCAGCAATAGTCCCACAGAGCCCACATCCGTTTCAGAAGTCTGAATGCCTATAACTCCAGCTGTCCTTCTCCATCCTTACTCTTAACTCACCCTGCACTAGCACTAAGCCTGCTTAGGAGAGAGCGCAAATTTGGCTGTAAAAGGAGCTAGATAAGTCCCCGAAGGTGAATTTGCAGAGTGGGCATCCTGTTTGTGGTGGATTTGGGGGCTGACAAAGACTCTGAGGCTAAAGTTCCCCTAAGGTGCCCTTAGTTCTATTTCTTGTCTTAAATGGGAAAGAAAGGGCTGCATCAGTCTTATCTATCGGAGGTTGCAGCCCCTCTTTGATGTCAAACCAGAGAATAGCTCAAGGGGTCCAACCTTCAAACAGGACACATGCCCTGCACTGTTGACCTGTTTGGAGATTCTAAGTTTGTCTCTGTCAGAAGATATAACAAGACTGAATTTGCAGCCACTGAAAAGCAAGAGATGTGCCAAAGTTACGGTGTTGGAAGAGGTGTGATGCTTTACCGATGCACAGCAACAGAGGCAGGAGAAGGGGCTGAACCGTACCTGAGGGCCAATCTGTGGGGGAGAAAAAAAAGAAAGCACGTTCAGGGATGTAAACCAAAACTCAGAGGCAATCAGATCCTAGCAGCCCAGCTCAGGGCCCTGTGTTCCTTCTTCCTGGGCAGCCAGCCTGTTTCCTGTACCCCCCAGGGGACAGGACCATTACTCATTCCCTGTGCGGAGATGTGAAAGGAAACCTGACCCACTGTAGGTTGTAGGGAGCTTGAGGGGGAAGGAAACCGAGGAGGAGATTCCAATCTTTGCCTCCTCTACTCTTCACAGCAAGGATGATAAAACCAAGGGAAGAGGGAGATGTTGACAGGGTCAGAGGTGAGACAGAACCTAGATCAGATGTCAGTTTCTCAACATCAGGAGTTCCAGTGTGAAGAAACTTCTCTTATTTCATCATACCACTGTAAGATATGGTGGGAATTTGTTCTAGGCCCCCCAGTGTTTATAAGGAATGTCTGTGTGCATCTGAATTGGGAAATACCTACCTTTAATCTTGAACTGAATGTTGCACTGAGGACATAGCCCTATTTTTAAGTCACTCTGTTCTCTGCAAGGTACTTCTGTGTAATGTGTTGGATTGTCACAGTGACCCTGAAAGCAGACACTGGGACCCTGTTTTATGGATGTGGAAATAGTCCCAGCAGTCTAAGTAGCAGAGATGGGAATAAAACAAGCTACTTTGCTTCCTTGGTGATTAAGACTCACCACCCGGAACTGTCTTCTACAGTTGGTGTGGGTTTCAGTTCTTTACCCTTGTTGATCCTGCCCCCCACGCCAACCATGTGTACAGACCACGAGATTTACCCAGGCAGACTTTTCTGGAGCCGAGGAATGAACTGGAAGTTCCCAGCGTGAGAGAGGAGCTGTGGGGTGAAGATAAAATGACCTGTCCACCCTTGTCCTTTTTCTCTGTTCTGTCATCTATTTCCATACCACCTGTGTTTGTTCTGATGGAAGGCAGAGCAGTGCTTCCATAGGAGTTGGGAGTCATGGACCACACCAGGGTGGGAGCACCATATACAGCAGTCATGCAAGCAGCACTACCTGCAAACACGGTCAGAGCCCTGCAGACTTCTGGAGGTCTGCTTACTGGCATGCACATAGCTGGTTTCTCAGCTGAACCATGAAAGGAACTCAAGTGTCTTGAGCTGCCAAAATCTAGATGGTTCTTGGTGTTCAACTCAATCAGGATCCTGCAGGATCCACTGGGACCTCTAGGGAGCCTGAGGAGACCTCAGGTTTGAGTGCCTTTTAAGCAAAGTATACAGCTGAGAAATGCATCTCTGGCTGAAAAGTAGATAAATGGGCTCGGCAGTGCTTAAAACCAGATAGGATTATGATCTTGCCAGGGCTCCTGAACTATAAACTTTGGGCTGCTGTGATGCCTGGTTCTGGGGCACCAGGCTCACAGATGGCAATGTGAACAGCATCTCCAGTTGTGCACTGAGGCAGCCCTGTTTCCCTCTCTGGGCTTCTGTCGCTTATCAGGAGAGGGTTGTAGTCCTGTCTAGGGCTCTGAACTACCAATCATGGCTAGGTAGGCCAGATGTCTCAATTCCTTCCCCACCCCTTTTTTTGTTCTTCTCAGAAATAAGAGTTGGGGGGACTCTGAGGATGAGAGTCCTCTCATAAGGCACCTGAATCACTTGGGAATCTTGGCTAGAAGCAAGAGATACCAACCAGGGTGGGGTGAGCAGAAAGCCATTTACGGGAAATCTAGAGGATGTAGTTGAGAAAGTGGGTGGGAAGGAGGTGAGACAGCTATGCAGCTGGACACCAGCTCAAGATCTGCCTACACTGCTTCTGCTGGGCCCCAGCATTTGCTGTACATAATCCCTCAGCTGGCCCTATTTCTTTTAATGATTTTCTCAAGAGTCTAAACCCAGAGTGACCAAAAGTGTGTGGGGGTGGGTGGGTGGGGACAGGCATGAGAAGAGCATCTAATTGGACAAGTCTGGCTCATACACCTATACCACTGCAGTCAGGGGCTGAGGAGACGGAGTATTTGGTCTCTTTGGTTGCTGCAGTGGGGAATTAGGCCCTGCCTTCTACCAAATGAAAGAGCGTTCAGGTATCTGGTGATGAGGAAGATGACAATTGTCCATTATTACATCCTTAGATGTTCTCTGCCAGCCTCAACAGGTTTCAGGCACCTCAGAAATACTATGCCAAACCCCAACAATTTCTTTTCCATTGATTTCATACAACTGGGAAGCAGAAATGGGCTCAGAACAGGAATCTAAAGTGCTCTCCTCCTCCTAGAGCCAGGATCATTGTTTTCCTCCAAGATGTGAGCATCACCCAGAAAGCAAGTGCCTATGCCTCACTAAGAGACCCAGACCTGGGACCAGGAGCTCTGGTATCAAGTACCTTCCCATCACCTCCTAGCTGGACCTCGGGCAGCTCACTCCTGCTCTCTCAGCTTTGGCTTTCACAGCTATCTAAGTGGTTTTTGAAGTAATAAATGTGAATACACTTTGAGCTCTGAAGTACACTATCTCTATGAAGCCTTCTCATTAGAGTGAACTACAGCCAGGACTCAGGACAGCCCCACCATGAGCAGAGTACCCAGGAGCCCTCCCTGTCTACATGGGTTGATCCATGGTTCTGACTATTGCCTTAGTCTCAGTGAAGAGGAATGAAGATTATTCCTAGGGATGCTATAATCAGAGACCCAGTCACAGAGGTGATGGGTATGTTTAACTGAAGGCTTGGGGGACATCTGGTGCCCAATCCCCAGCTCTGCCATTGACTCTGACCATGTCACTTCACCTTGCTGGGCCTCAGTTCCTTCAACTCCACTATAAGGACAGGGGATCCCAGCATTTGATGGGTGTGGTATCTTATCCAAGTCAGTGCATAGGGTGTGGAGTATATGATTTAAGAACCATACACTCTATCTTTGGGATGCATTAATTTGGTGGGGTACCTGGGTGGCTCAGTCGGTTAAGCAACCAACTTCAGTTCAGGTCATGATCTCACAGTTTGTGAGTTTGGGCCCTGCATCAGGCTCTGCACTGACAGCTCAGATCCTGGAGCCTGCTTCAGATTCTGTCTCCCTCTGTCTGCCCCTCCCCTGTATGTGCTCTCTCTTTCTCAATAATAAATAAGTAAACAATAAAAATTAAAATTATTTGGTAAAGGGGGGTGGGAGCAGATGTATCAGATTTTCTTTAGTAACAATTTTAAGTAGTATTAAAAAAACTGAATTCATTGATTAGCTCCTCCCAGTGTGGTGTGTGAGGGCTGGTGGGTGGAAGGATGGTCCCTCAGGAGCTGCAAAGCTAGTTGGGAGGGCCATAGGGGCGGGGAGAGGAGTCTGGGTAGAGAGGAAAACCTGGCCTTGGATGAGTGGCCAAGCAGATGCTTGCAAGCTGACCACCAAGACTGGATTTTAGTCTAAATATAAGAGAAAAACATACCTCCTGGTTTTAGATCCAGGATTGTTTTTCCCCTTAAACTCCTCCCAAAGTTTAGCCAATTGTAGTTCAGTGAAATCTCCCAGCCTGGTCAGCTTCTCTCTCTGAAAGGAATATACAAATATCTGAAAGGGAAAGCCCTGAAGCAGGCTGCCTTACCTTGAAAACCTTGAAGTTTAGCGGAAATTTATTGTCTTTTGCCTTTAAGTTTTGTGGCATGATGTTGAAGGACATGATGACACTGTTGTCTTCCATGCTCTCCGGCACAGAGAAGATATACTGCGTGTCCCTCAGAAGTCCTTCTGCACAAGAAAGAGCTGTCACTAGAGCTCAGCTCAGTTCCTACAACTCCCAGATGGGGCCATGTTGGTTCAGAAAGCTCTGGTGGGTTGTACTAGACACTCTGGATCTGGAGACTAAGGCGCAGGCACCAGGCCTCACAGTTACTACTTATAGCACAATCTTCTTTGTTTTGTGAGCCTCTGTCTCTTCCTCTTAAAAATAAGAAGGGGAAGAATATTCCCCACTTGGTGAAAATGCTTCTTAAACTATAAAGTTGGGGGCTATTTTTAATAACGATAAGTGGAATTTCAGCATCCTCAGGTATGTATGAGCTTATACATTGGTTATAACCATCAGAGCCTAGAAATGATGTCAGTCTGCAAGCACCAGTGGAGACAGAGGAAAATAGGCAGAGAGATAGCAAGTCCTAACACTGCACCACCCAAGTGTGCTCCTCAGAGCCAGGCCAGGACACAGAAGGACGGTGAGAACCTTTAGATTCAGATACATGGAAGAATGAGAAGTGAAGATAGAGGTGAATAAATACACATCAGCAGATTCGGGTCACAACCGGGAAGCTCTGAGATGAGAACGTGGAGATACAGAGGCTTCCTGTGAGGGTTGGACAACATGACACATTCAAGTGTACTTAGCAGTGCAGGGCAGGTGCTCATGCCCTGGCTCCCTTCTCTCTTTCCCTTGCAAAGAGTCACTAAGAATAGTCCCAATATATTACTTTGGCTAGTTCATTGCACTACATGCAGGGAAGGAGACTTTGGCCCCACAGTCAGATAGATGAGGCTCTAGAGGTGAATGAGTAAATTTGCTGCCCAAGTATGACTTCAGAATTTCTTAGAGTCCATCCATGACCACCAGAAGTGTGAAGATCCTGGAGGCTGAAAAGAGGGGCACTCTGGGGTCATTCAAGCAAACCAGTCTCAACAGGTAGGTGCCTGGGAGAGGGAATGCCTCTTATGTAGGTGCAAACACACCGACATGCACACTCACATACATGCAGACTTGTATATGGAGATTCTCGTATCGAGGATGTGTAAGCATGCTCATGTTCAGGTTTAGAAGAAGCTATTTCACTCATCTGTGCTGCAAATGGGGAGCAGGAGGTGGGCAGCGAGAATATGTGATCCTCCCAAGGTCACACTCAACAAGACTCATCTCAGTGGAGCCCAAAGACAGGTTCTGAGGTGCCCACCTCTGGGATCTCAGTACGCTGCTGCAGGATGAACCAACCAACATGGGGCAGGATTATTCTCCCTTATGTTTGGATGGTGCTTCATGGGGCAAAGTGATGGTTTAACCCAGGCCCTGACTTTTGCCCAGTGTTGTTTCTATAGCTTCCCACCACCTTGGGTAGTAACTAAAGAGCAGTCAGTCTGTTTTCCTGGAAGGCAGGTGAGAGTCAGTAGAACAGTGGGAGAGCCTGAGAGGGCAGGGGAGGCACACCTGAGATTCTCCCACCCAGACTACCAGCAATTGTTTCCCTTAGAAAAGCACAGCTGTTCCTTTAGGATGACAGATTCCTTTCCTTTCAAGTTCAGGCTGATGGTCCAGAATCAAAAGCCACTGAGACATGAAGCTAGCACAGGGCTAGGGCTGGCAGCTTCCATCTGGCAGAATCATTACCAATGTCATCATTACCTGTGGTGTTTCCTGGAACTGCACGATTCCTAAACATCATTTGGGACCATCTTTCAGGAGGCAAGTTTCCACGGTTTAGACTGACTGGAAATTGGTTACATATGTACAGGCAGGAAAAGTTGTCTTGGAAATCTCGACGTGACATCCTGTTATAAACAGATACACATCATTTCACTGGTTTTGTCTCTAGGGTGGGGGTTCTCATCTCCCCACTGTACCATTGTCAGTTCTAATCTCCATGGACTTAACACTGTCCTATCCAAAGACCAGAGCCTCATTCTGGCTCATTCACTGTCAAGTACCCTTCTGTTCCCTCCAGGGGTTGAGAAGATAGGACAGAATAAAATTCTGAGTCCTGCATGTCCCTCTCATGGCCAGAAGGATGGCTCTTTTCTCTCTGTGCTCTGGGTCCTACACATTAAGAAAATTGCCTTTCCCTTGGTTCCTTTGCCAAATTCATTAAGTCAAAATAAAATGGGTTCAACACCTAAACACACCACCCCATACTGTGATTACAGTGGAGATATTGGAAATATTTTTTCCTTTCTAATTAACATTTGTCTCTCTGCTTCTTAATTACTTAGACTCAGCCTCCTCTTCACAAATGCTAAATTTCATTTAAATATGTTATTAAGTAAACCACACAATCTCTCAGGAAAATGTCCATATTATCCTTTAAGATGTGAACACGTGGTAGAGAATAGGTTCTTAAAATACCTAGTCCTACATAGGTGCTGGGTGAGGACATGGATGTCTCACTCAGAACTCTAGAGTCAGGGCTTGGAGATTAATACTGAATTGCTCTTTTGGAAGACTCTGGAGCTCCAGGGTGAGACTGTAGGTCCTAATGACATGGCACAGAAGAAGCAGACATGATAACCAGGCATCCTGGTTTTCAGGAAACTGTGGATTTCAAAGGTTTGGTGTCAATATTCCCTTTTACCATCAATATTTCCTGAAAGTTCCAATATTTCAGAACTGAAATACCTTTCACCCAAAGAGAAAGCACACAAATAATTTCCCATCCAAAGCTTTCATGTCTTTGTGGAAAAAACAGTCTCCTTCTACATAGGTCTCTGCAAAGCTAATCTCTAGTCTCACAAAAGTGTAGGGAAAGGGGGAGGGATTGAGGGTGTGGCCAAGAGTCAAAGATTTAAACTATAACTTTAAACAAAAAATACCAAAACTCGCCATCGTCCTTATTCTCATACAGCAGTCTTTTCCATTGGCCATGGATTTCTTGCCATTCTGGCGACCTGCGCACACGGAGACAGACCACAGAGTGACATCCTCCAAAGCATTTCATCTCAGCAAAACATGCTCCAGCAGAAGCCCTGTCTTCCATTCATTCTGGGCATGCAGGTGGAGGGGTCATTCTACCTAGTGACAGGATTCAGTCATTCTCTGTATGCTGGTGGCTTCCAAATTGTCCCCAAGCATGATCCTTTTTCCTGTGTGTTAGATAGATACATGCTATGGGCCAAGGCACATCTCCACCAGAGCCCACAGTGATCTGGAAACCAAACTATCCCAAAACACACTGGACCTCTGTCTCCTCCCAATGCCCAAGTGGGAACTCGAGAAGCCATTTCCTCGTGCCCTCCACATCCGAGCAATCACCAGATAGTGACAATTTATGATTGTACTTCTGAAACCCCACTCAAACCCATCCACTTACTTCCCTCCCTCCTGCTGCCTTCCTAGTTTAGAAGCCCTCATCTCCTTGTTGGACTTTCCACCTCCCTCTCCATTCTGCCATTAAAATGATCTTTCTAGAACAGAAGTCAGATTCTGCCATCTTCTTGCTTAAAACACCTTTTCCTCTCAGGATGAGGTTCAAGCTCTCAGATCAGAACCTTGGCCTCTGCCTACTTCTTCAGCTCTACCTGAGCAGCTCCCTACTTCCCTACAGACCCCACCCTTGCATTTTATACCCAAAACATGTTCTCATCCCTTTAGAAATAACTGTCCTGCCCCCACCCTGGCCTTCACTATGAGGCTCCCTCTGCCTGGGAGACTCCTCATTTGTTCAGTCCTTTAACCCAAGGCCACTCCTCTGTCCTCCTAAAAGGCAGCTCTGCTGGGAACCCTAATTGTCCCCTTGTGGTGTCTCCGCTTCACCTCCAGGGTCAGTGTCCCTCCTTGGAACCCACACAGCAGCCTTTACCACTCCTGTCTCAGGACTTAGTGCTCTGTGTTTCCAGTGCTTGTGTATTTCTCACTGTCCCTCACTGGACTCTGAGTTCCAGGACCCCAATGAGCCACTGTCACTATTACCTGATCACAAGGGTTGGCAAAGGCCTTGGCCCACAGGCATGTAGTTTTCTGCTTGCTTAATATAGTTGTCCTGTTCACTGGGATCATGTATTCCAGAAGCTAGTCCTAGGGTCTGTGGGGAAGGAGGAGGCCCTCACAGGCAGAAGGGAGCAGCTGTCCCTTCCTTAGGCCCCTCCTTGTGGTAGAGACATGCACATAAGCAACAGGCCCCAGAGACACAAACATATAATGTATTTATCTCTAGGAGTGGCTTGCACCGAGGGTCAGCTCTGTGCTGGGAAAGCAAGGCAGGGACCACTACTCAGGCTTTGGGCTTTTGGGCCGAGCCAGTCAGATGTGTTATTGTAAAATAGCAATTTTATAATTAAGTGATGATTTCATTTTCTGCAGTGTGTAAGGGAAAATAAATGTAGTATAAATCAATATACTATCGATTCACGCAAGTTTGCCTTCAAGTGTGTGCGTCTGAAATTTCAATTATGGCGGAGATTAGACCATCCGGCTCTTTCTATCCATCTCCACTCCTTAAAAAGTAGGGGGGAAATCAACCACCTGCATGGAGACGTGGTGATGCGGTCCTGTTGCCTTTCTCCCGCCCTGTTTCTGGTGGGAGATGGTGAGCCTAAGCATAGCCTGGTGTGTGATCCTTGTTAGTGTGGCCAGGTGCACTTCCCGTTCCCTGCTCTGTACACGTCTCTCTTGCGGAAAGGCCTTTACAAATCCTGTGCCCGTAGCGCATAAATCCAAATTTCTAAGGTGGCATTGGGCTCTCTGGCCCCAGCCCCCAGTACTTCTTTTCCAGGTTCCTCTGCCACAGGCCAGTTTGTCGGCCCCAAACACACTGTAAGTGATCCCGGCTTGGCACAGAGATCTATATTCCCTTCCTTCCTGGTGATCTCTTCCCAGGTGAGTTATACTTTTTTTTTTTCCTGCTTGAGCTCAAGTTCGACTCTATCTGTGAAGATTGCCCAGAACATACCAGCCCAGGGGAAGCTTCTATTCCCTAATCTCTGGTGCCTTTGCTGCTTTCGCCACTCATGTGATATTTAGCATAAGGGATGTGGGCAAATTATCAACTCAGTTACATCTGTTGCCTCTTCTCCTACACAAGGCACATGTGTTATTGGGAGGGGGGTCTTCCTTCACTTCAACCCCAACAGACAACGCAGAATCAGGAATTCTACTAATCACAACACCCCTGGGCCATATTGGCAGCTTGGGTTAATGACTGAGAAGAACTGGCAAAGGCCAGAGGTTAAGATTTACTTTGGGAGGGGCAAAGGATACCAGAGGGAAAGAGGCAGGAATAGAGGCAAGATCAAAGGAGAAAGGGGAACAGGGAATAAAAACACAACACTCCCCAGTGATTCCTGCTGAAGTTCACCCCCTTCTGTGGAGGGGGTTCAGCGGCCCTGTCCTCTCTCCAGGAGGCATCAGAAACCCACCAGGTTCATTCTGTCAATCCATGTTGCTTATTTCCTCCCTCTCTCCTGCCCCTGCTTTACTACCCTCCACCCCAATGGACATTCATCTTATGTTTGCCTTGTGCCCACGTGAGCAAGCACATGCCAGCTGTTGGGGCTCAAGGAGGATCAGAGTGGCCCCTGCCATAGCCAGCCTGTGGCATCATGCCTGGCTCTGGGCAGCCGAGAAGCAGGGAAGGGACAGTAGCCAACCCTGTGTTTGCCTTCCAGAACACACTTCTCACTGTATTGATTTTTACTGCTCATTAGGTCCTGTTCTCCTGTTTGTCTGAATGCTTTCCATTTCCTTTTAAGTCTCCCTCTCTTTCCCACCATCTCCCTTCCCCTTGCCCCTTGTCGGCTGCCAGGGGAGCAGGTAAACTGTCACTGGGTAACCGATCACTGGCCCTCCCGGCACTGCCATCTTATTCTTAATCAGCAAGGAGGTGGGGACCAGGGATCGGTCTTCCTGGCAGCTGGGAAATGCTAGCCTAGCTCCAGGGAACAACTGGCCACAGAGCTGGTCCCCACTGGCCAGCCAGGTCAAGAGAGAAGCTGCCTGGGACAGAGCCAACAGGCATCTGACACCTATTTCCATTCACTTCTATGAGCAAGGTGTGAGTCCAGACACCACGTGGGAGTCCAGGTCAGTAGGGAGGATGACAGCCCAGGTGGCATATCTTCAGCTCTCCAACTACCCTCAAAATGAAGTCTTTTCCTGATGGTGTCATCAGGATCAGAATTCCAGGAGATTCCTTTATGGGATGAGACTTTTCCTCTCTATCTCTCTCTGCCAAGTAGAACTTGGCTTCTTTCCTACTCCCTCTTCAACCCTTAAAAAAAAACCCACCTTAATTCTGGGTATGTGGGTTCACAGCACTGAAATGTAGCCTTCTAGGGGATAGATACTGGGTCTTATCATCTGTACATTTCCCACAGTACCACCTAACACAGTGCACTTAGTGCAGAGAACATACAGTCAGTGTCTAATAGATGCCTGGTGAATGGCATCATGGGAACATGAGTTGGGCTAACGGCCGCACACAGGTGTGAGATCCACAGCAGGTGAGATAGAGGCCACCCTTCAGGGGCAGGGTGTTCTCTGCACACCAGGTCTTCTGAAAGGGTAGAAAGAGGTTTTCAGAAGCCATACCCATCCCCCCAGCGCCCTCTCCATTCTGTTTTGCCCCAGGGGTTCCACAGGCGGATAAGATCCTCCCAGCTCCTCCGGTACTGAATCTGCGAAGAACAGAAAAAGAAACTGTCAGTGCTCTCCAGCAAAAGTCAGCAGAAAGAGGGGATATGAATGCAGCTGCTTTTTACCTCCAAGAACTAATTTAACTTCTGACCTCATTTGGCTGCAGCCAGAAAAAAAAATTGAAAGGAAAAAACAAATCAATGTGTCTCTGCTGCCTGCATGGGGTTGGAATGAGGGAGGGGAAAATGGCCCGCTCTCTGCTCAGCACCACCTCGAAGGGTGGGCACAACCTCATCATTCCGTGCTAGTGCCTCCCGGAATGTGGGCTGAGACATCACAGCAGGTAAACAGTGTGTGGTGTTCCTGTGGGCTGCCAAGGGGACATCTTGACAAGTCCCCGGCCTCCTGCAAGCCCTGTCCCCACCGGCATCTCCATTCTACAGACATGGCTGCCTTCCCTTCCCACAGCTATGGGGAGCTGTGCCGGGGTCCCCATGGTGCAGCCCTTAGCAAGGACATGGAGGCTGAATTGAACAGGAGTGGGATGGCCTGGGGGTCAGGAGAGCCCCTCATAGCCCTTCTCAACCTGCACCCCAGCACTGCCCCACACTCCCATCACCTAGCCTCTGCCCACAAGCAGACACCTCAAAAGGCTGGATTTCTCTTCCTCCCCCAGGCACCTCATCACCAGCTCCCAGAATCAGAGGCTGGCACATTTGCTCCTTTGAGGCCACAGAGGCCAGAAGGAAGGACCGTTGACAAGTTACAACAGAACCAGAGCAATCACAACCCTTTGACCCTCCATTCCCAGATCCAGAAGCCCTCGGCCTGGTGGGAGGAATTGAAGCATTCTTGTGCTGTGGCTGTGACACTGATCTGTGCTAAGGTCATTTGTGGAGGCCAAGGCCTACAGGGGCGAGGGGAGGACCTCACTGCTCAGTGGCTGCAGGTCAGAGGCGACGGAGAAAACCTGAGTGCAATATCACCATATAGAAAAGAAACCTGTGTGTGGAGACAGGCTGGGAGCCAGGCACCGGCTGGGCGCATCACATCCTTTATCCCCCACCCTCACCTCTGCAGTAGATGTTTATAGAACCCTTGTCTTGCATGGGAGGAAACTGAACACCAGAGAGGTTAAGCAACTTTCTCCAGGCCACAGATTAAGTAGCAGAAGAATTCTCATCCCAGCCACTGTCAGTCTCCTAAGCTCAGGCTCTTGATTTGGGGATGGGAGTGGATAAGGGCTTAAGCTCTCCAGGGACAGCCTACTCTCTGGTGTGGCCACAACCCTGACCTCGCATCTCAGCCCTAGGCCACCTGGCCACAGCCCACGTCAGTCATCACCAGCAGGGCAGTGCCATGAAGGAACAGCACAGTGAGACAAGGGCCAAAGAACTTGGCATGGAGAAGGTTCTTTTCCATCTACTTCTATCTGGCTGGCACTCTAGGGGAAGGTGCTTTGGCTTTTAATGCTACATGTGAGAGGGGAGGCTCCCGGCACATGCCTGGGTTTCCCACCCCTATCTGCCCCACCCCTGGGCACTCCGGGCCTTGCACACAGTAGATATATTAACTGACAGTGCCTGATGGAGCAAGAGCATGAGAAATGGTTGCCTGGTGGTCCAGAAATCTTAATGAGCCACCCTCAGTGCCTAACATAGTCAGAGCTCAGTTGGGCACAGGGGAGACGAACGGCCAGCAAGTGGAAGGTGCCGCAAGCAGGGCTAAATGAGGCATGCAGATAAACACTCACCCCCTTGCCCAGGGGAGGCAGCGCTGAGCTAGGTGCATAATAAAATATGCCAATTTCATTTATCTTCCTGTCTGTGTCCCGCCCGGAGGAGGATGAATAGATTAAAAAACATGTTGCATTTATGGGCTGGTTTAATCTTAGCACTCGTGGTCAGTTATAACCTCCTCTTTCTGGAGGAGAAATCTTTAACCAAGTCAAGTTCCTGGGTCTTGGCAGGGAGGCTCAGGAGTCACACTCAAGGCCAAGGTCACAATCGCCTCTGAGAATGAACACTTGTTTCACTCTCATGGCTACTCACTATACCCATGGTCCTGGTTAGCTCCCTCAGAAAGAGTACCCCTGAGCAAGAGGTGACCCACATTATCTAGTCTCATATGTATTCTCTTAAATGCTAGTTCTGCAGGCTGTTAATAATTCTTCTAAGAAGTGGTTTCATGATTAGTGGAAGATTAAGACCAAGCTGTACCTGTATCGTCAGTACTGGCCTTTTCAGAGGCTTTAACATGCTAATGTCCACTGTGAATCTCCAAGAAGGGATTATAGTGAGCAGCATTTTCCAAGTGTATTTGGAAAGCTGCTTTAATGGAGGATCTCACCAGGCAGGACTCCTTATAGCACATGCTGGGAAGTGTCAGCAGGCCCCAAGTGGCAGGAGAGGCAGGAAGTGACCACCTATGACATGCAGTTTTGACAGCCAACATTATAGGAAAGGTGTCCTATTTAGACCACTCACCGTGTTATAAGAACAACTCATAGTGTGTGCTGTGGGGGAAGCAAACATTCAGACAATGAGTAGATTCATCAGGAGCCCAAACCCTGACTCCTGTATTCACCTGTATGGCCTTGACCCTAGGTGTTCACATGATCGCTCTATAACCTGGTAGTCACTGTTATCCCCATGCCCAGCCTCTGTGGGGATGCACATTCCACAGCCATCTGGACCTCCTAATTCACAAGCCCCTTCTCCCCTGTGTTGAGAGGAGAGGCAAAGATCATCTCTATGTATAAAGAGCCTTTTCCAGGAGCGGCAGAGACAGCAGGCAGGTCCCATGGCCCCTTCATTCCATGCCCAGCACAGACATCATTCTTCGATCACAGCCTTTTCACCAAATCTGGAAGTGGCACCAAAGTCTTGCTCACACATAATCCAAGCAGCATTGCCAATGGATCAAGGTTGGCCCACAAGAAGACGGATTTGCTATCCCTAGCCTAGACTTTCCACACCTGGGGCTAGGAGTCATGGCAAGCAGAGTATCTGTATGCAGCCTGGTGTGACGATGGTACTGGGGGCCCCCACTGAGAAATCTGAGATGGGCTTGGGAGAATCCAGGGGAGGAGAACCTGGGGCTGCTGCGTCTAGGATCTCTCCTGGCCGAGGTTAATCAAGACAACCTCCTCTTTGCTGGTGGGAAATGTATTTTGAGCTCCTCGTATAAGTTCTATGACAGAGGTGGAGGCTCAGTTATGTCATCTTCACAGACCAAAGACATGCATTCACTCACTCATGCAAGTGTACTGATCCATTAATCCAACGAGCATTTATTAGGTACCTACCGTCTCCCAGGTGCTGTGCAGTGGGAGCATTTCGCTATGGATCTCCTTAAGGAGAAGAGAGTAAGGCAGAAGATACTATTTATTTTGTGGAACATTTATGAAAACACAAAATGATGGAGCGACTGGCCTTAGGTCATGGGACAGGAGGCGGATTGATACAAGGAGAAAGAAAGCAACTGTTAGAAAGAATGCCAGAAACAGGACCTGACACCTTACCTTTTGTGGCTCATAAATACCTGTGAAAAATGTACCCTGGAGCTTGGAAAACGTTATTAGGCTTCACGAGGTGCGGGAAATACAGAGATGGGGAACGTGTGTGGGAAATCAGCACGAGGCCAGAAAGCACTGTGACCACACAGCTGTGTGATAAGCACAGAGGAACTGAGGGGACATGGTGTCTAGGCCCAGCCATTTCAAGTAGCTGTGTTAACCCTGACCTTCTCCTCTCAGACCTCAGCTTCTCAATTATAAATGGAGGAAGCTGGACTTGAGTAGTGTTTTTCAGACCAAATGATTCTGCACACAGCAATCACATACACTTTTGTCCACCCCTGTATCAATTGTCCACCCCAGTTCCTGCATCAATGGGCAGCACTGTCCTCCTATAGCTGCCACGCCCCCCTTCCTTGGGAATAAAGTCTAGCTGGGCATATGGCAGCCTCACTAGAGGGTATGTTTCCCAGACTCCCTTGGGTCTTGGTGTAGAACTTGGTTGAGTTCGGACTAATGGGATCTGAGAGGAAATGGTGTGTGTGTGTTCTCTGATGCGTGTCTTCTATATGGATATATGTGTCCCCTGGCCTTTCTTTCTTTCCCTGGCTGGGAGATGAGGGACTTGGAGCAGCTGCCCTGGGCTCACAGGTAGAGGCCCCATGTTGCAGGTGACAGAGCCACCTATCAGCTCTGGATTTGCCCACTTACCTGAGAGAGAAATGAACTGTATCTTGTTTGAGCCCCTGTATTTTGGAGTGTCTTTGCAGTAGACATTTAGTCGGTACATAACAAATAAAACCCTTTCAGGGCAAAACTTGCCACAGTCAATTGGGTGGCTCATTCTGCTTTCTTTTGAGGCTAATCCCACAGTCCAGCTAGACACTCAGCCTGCCTGAGATCAGTTCAAGAATGGCAAGATCATAGGTAGGCATCTGGGGATGAAGATACTGGGTACCAAAATTTCTGGATGAATGGAAGGAATATTGAGGCCGTCCATGTTGAGCTTGCTGAAGGCATGTGATGCTGACCCTTGTTTAGAGGAGCAAGAAAACTGGGCTCAGCCCACGGTACCCTTACCCGCTCAGCTCCAGTCACTGTGTAGGCATGCTGACTCACCAGCCCGTTCTCCATTCTCCTGGCCTCACCTGTCGGCTTCAAAGGAGGAAAGCAGACCAAGCGTTAAGCATTCACAGGCTCTTCAGAAAAACAGAAAAGCACAATTCAATCAGCAGCTAAGCTGTGCCGGGATGAAAAGCATCCCATTGACTCACACTAGAATGGCATATGTTCTTGGAACTCTTTTCTAGAGAGTCAGAGTTTGAAGGCTGCTGGGTGGTTGAGGCCTCAGGCATTTCATACCTTAGGAGACTGCCCCATTACTGATAGAACCCCACTGAGTCCTGAGGCTGACCCGGATTGCCTGCCTCTCCAATCACTGGTCATCAATGACACAGAGCACAAAACATGTCTATGGGGCATTTTGTGGGAACCAGGAATACCCACCAGCCCCATGCTATGGATAATTGGAGTGTAAAGTGCATATTAGTTTTGAGGTAGCATTTCAGATTAGGTGTGCTGGACTAAAAGCTCACGTGTTTACAAGGCAAAGGAAACATCCTCATGGATAGGGGGCTGGCTGTCTCAGAATAGACTTCAAAATAATTTGGAGGGTCATCCACGCTTTTCATAAATGAGACACACTGACCTTGGAATACTGCCTTTGGAACCAGTGTGAATCAAAAGAGTGGCCAGTCACTCCAGACCCTGCTATCCCTGGTCACATTAAAGTACTAGATAAAGGCTTTGGAGTCAGGCAGCAGTATCTGAATGCTGCTCAGCCACTTGCTGGCTATGTGATGGTGAGCATTTTACTTAGTTTCTCTGAGGCCATTTTACTCTTCTGTAAGTGAATTCTGCAACCTTTCTCTCAGAGGGAGGGCCTGCTGTGAGGATTCAATCAAGCAACCCCAGTGAAACATGGCCTCCTTGCTCTGTGACATCTGCCTGGCCATGCCCCTGACTGGCTGAATGGGTTGGTGGCTAGACATCCCTGGGTGAGGAAAGGCTCTACCCAGTCTAAGGAGTCTACTCACTGAGGCCGGGGTGCCACAGGTCATCAGGGAGCCTGTCTTGGCTGCTGTCTTCACCATCATTACCAGGTCAGAAGGAAAGGAGTGCAGGTCGATGCCAGTGACCACCCCTCCTGTGAGGTCCACCAGGGCATCAGGAAGGAAGCCGTAGTGCAAGTTGAGATAGGATCCATGAAACCTAGGAGGAGGACAGTCACAACCACCCCTGTAGTGCCTTTGGTGAGATGCCCCAGACAGAGAGATTGCCCACCTGACATATGCATATTGCCCAGAGGACTACCTGATCTGTGCCTGGACTATAGCCACTTGCCTTCCATTTACCAAGATGGCATTTCCAGCAAAGCGCCGCTGTCCTTCCCCTGCTTGGCCAGGGTTGGGCAGCCTCACAAGCAGCAGTGTTGTGCAGAGGTCAGAAGTGCAAGGCTGGAGCCACAGGGGAGAGGCTGAATCCCAACGTTTCCATATATTTAGCTGCTTAATCTTGGACAAGTTACTTAACCTGGTACATGGCAAGCCCTCAGTAAACACTGGATATTCTGGTGATAAATGTCCACTGTTTCCTATTCAGTTTAATGATAGTGCTAAGTACTCATGTGAGGGGTAACCATGCTAAGCATGGGCTGTTCAAAGATGGGCAACCCCCTGTCCCTGCCCTCTAAGAGCTCAACCAATGACCCCAATGCCTGCTGTGGCCACATGCAGTCTCTGTTCTCATGCAGTACAAAGCATGGTACAGAATTCCTACTCTTAGGACTAACCCACTTGTTTCAGGATCATCAGGGATGTTAGTCGACTTGAGTGAAGGTAACACAGGTGAGGATGCGTCCTACATCACATGACCTCAAAGCAAGGCATGTGGAAGCCTCATATGTATTCTCTAAAACACTTCTTTCCACTATTATGTGGGATTTCTGCCATTGCCTGGGCCTATCACCCCATTTCACCTCCTCCTCATTCTCCTCCAAACCTGCGCAGCACCAGTCACTCACTAGAGAGGCTGATAGATTCCAGATTCAAGAGCCAAACCACTGAGGTTCAACTCCCAGCTTCTCCCTCTCATGAGCTCCCAATCCTGGGCAGGTAGCTGAAATTTTCCCAGGCTCCCTTTGCTCAGCTGGGGAATGGGTGTGTTAACAGCCCCCACCTCAATGGCCTGTCATGCCCAATCTGCCAGTTCTTGCATGGATGGCATGTAGAAAGCTGGCTTGCAGAGTGTGTACCTGCTGCTGTCACCATCAGCACAGCAAAGGCCACACTCCCTCTGCTTCTACCTCCACACCTGTCACTTCATGCAACAGCCTTCTGCCATAGGGACACTTTCCTTAGAATGTCTACTTTTGGCCCTTGAGGTATCTTTGCTATGAGAACCAGTGGATCATCTTGGAACAGAGAAGAAACACCTGAGGGCCCAAGGCGAGCTCAGGGAGGGGCACACCTCTGAGTTTATCCAGGTAAGGACAGTGGGATGAGCCTTCCAGGGAGGAAGAAGCCCCAGAATCTGAAGAGCATGGAAGGGGGCCAATGATGGTGCCCCTGGGAGACAGTCTGGATTGACCACTGAGGCAGGGCAAGATAAGAGCTGATTTGTTTTGGGAACTCAAGTTCCTGTTAATGGGGTCAACTGGAAAGGCTGCCATAGAACCCTCAAATATAGGCAATGCAAACCCACAAAGGACATGGAGCTGAGGCCAGGCAGGGAGTGGGGTGAGGACCCTGCCTCTTGGCCTCAAAGCTGTTCAGTGGGAGACTTCCTCACCATTGCCCCTGTCACTCAGGCTTCTTACCAGGGACTTTCCCTACTGTCCCTGATGGATAAGCCAAGGCCAAGCCCCTCACAAGCTGGTGGCAGTGTGGGGAATCTCTGACCATGACTTTCTTTCTGGTCCTGTGAATCAGAGATGGGGTTCAGGTCTGAGATCTTCCCTTCTGCCCCTCTAGGGGGCCTGCAGCCCTCCCTTCCTAGTCCTTCACCTGGAAAGAGTGAGGTTGACTGGGTAGGCTTGTGGGGTCCCCCAGACCCTCCTATCTCACTATATCCCCACCTCTGTGACTGGGCATCAACCAGAATTAATGTAAGTTCACTTCAGCAAATATATGTCAAGCAGCCAATCAAAGCAGGACAATGTCCCAGGCACAAATGCCATAGAGGGCTTAAAAGTCTTTTTATAAAAGAAAACTCAGGATACACAGAAGGTCCATTCCAGGGAAACTGCCATGTGACAGACTGATCTCAACTTGTTAAAACTTGTTCTTAATCTTATCTTCCTGTCTCCTTCTCCTTGACCCAGGGTTATGCCTGGTACTAGACTCTTGTCTCTGGAGTATTTACTTAGTCAAATGCAAAGCCTGCTTTTAATAATGGTCATGCCTAGTTGGGGCAGAATGCCCAACTCTTGATTCTCCACATGTATTCTGGCCCATGTCCTAGATTAGGAGGGGCTTTGCTGAGGGTACTGGAAGTTAACAAAGACTGGGGTTCTGGAACCTATTCTAGATCCCACCTGCATGACCTCCCACACTGCAACAGCCCCTTTTTGATGATGTCCTCAAGGGCCCTCTCTGGCTTTAAACAGGGCTGCACCAGAGCCATTCCAGAAAAGCAGCCCGGGCCCTGTCTTGGTACATCGGCCCACTGCTTCAGTGTCTATGAGCCTCCTCTGATGTCTTACACTCACACCACCCTACAGTTGCCACAGAGATACCCAATGCATGGGGAAGGCCAGCCACCCCTCTCTCACTGTCTCTCCACAATGCCCACAGAGCCTGTCTCAGCAGCAGCTGGGTATTTTGATGAGGAGCTATCTCTTTGCTTCACAAACATGAGCTCATGAAGCCTGCTGATGGTTCAGGAACATGGCACTATTCTTAGCCCCCTTTGCTGACAGGAAACAGAAAGGGAAGAAAGATACAGAGAACGGTGTTCACCACACCTGTCACTACACCTTGTCACCTGAGCCCAGGAATTCTGAGCACGTCTTGTTCTCATCTCTGTGCTTCAGCCTCATTTGGGGGAAGTCTCTATCTGCCCAGCAATGCTAGGTGAGAGGGATGAATTCAGACATTTAAATCAGAACCAGAAAGGATGTTGAGATGCTATGACTCTTAATTGCCCAGATTCCATACAGGATGATATGCAGCCTATCAGATCTTGTTCCACAATCACTTATTTTATGACTTCTGGGGAAAAAACTTTGCCAATGTAGATCTGACCGACTCAACTGACTCATTTCCAGACTCCCCAGTTGCAAGAAGAGTTGAGTGTTTGGAGTGCATGTGTTCATTGGCCTACATTCTTGGGGGAAAGGAAGGTCATCTCCACCTGGATCAATGCATTCTCCATGTTTGTGCTGCGGTCACTGTGTGGCAGACACTGAGTCCCAAAGAAGCAAAGAGACAAATCTTTTTTCTATAGAACTGACAGCATCAAGGGATGATGGAAAAGCACATGACCAGGGGAACAGTTGACCTTGGGATGCTCATTTCAGTGTTCTGAGCCTCAATTTCCTCATCCTTCAAAGAAGGAGGTAGGGCTCGAGGCTGACAGAAGTCCCTTCCAGCTCAGATAGCTCAAATTCTATTGTGCTCACTCCTGCATTCTATGATTTCCTTCTTTGGATGGAGAGGAAAGCTTTTAAACAGCTTACTAGTTTGAAACATTTTATCCTCCACTAGATTTCTTTAGGCAGTGGATGTGGATTCTGGGTCCACTTTCCCATTTTCTTTTCAAGCTGAATGATTGCTTTAGGTCGACTGTTAACAAAATGGGGTCAAAGTCATCATTTCATTCCATAAGGTTTCTAATTCTCCAAGTGAACTGGCATGCTCCCCTTTTCACATAAGGGAAAAACAAAACCCTGAAGTGGCAAGGGCTGAATTCATACTGGAAAGAAATGGCAGTGTTTGTTTAAGTCGCTTAGAAGCAAATTAACCTCCCCAAACATATGGATTGGTTCAACAACCTTGGATGTTATCTGGGATTCATTCTCAAATGCTAATGAACAGCTCTTCTTGACACTGGAAATGAGCAACAGCTTTAGTTTTTCACAAGTAGGCTTGACAGAAAGAATGTAAAAAAAAAAAAAAAAAAGCTCTCGAGATTCATGGCTGACAGATTGTAACCTCCAGAAGGACAGGGACTGGGGCAGTCTGTGGGGTTGCTGGCACCCTTGTGGCTCAGGACTGGACTCAGCAGGGTCTTCAGGCTTACTCAATGATATCCCTGGGTCAAATAACTGAAAACCCTAGCAGATTCCAGCTAGTGACTACTATCACAACACTATTTGGAGTCTTGGCTTCCCAATCTGTAAAATGTGGTGGGTCACAATGATCTTTGGGGAACCTGATTCTGTGACACTACACTAATTCATTTGCTCTTGAAAGTGATGGTCCTTTTGTCCTTTAGCATTGATTTCTAGCTCTGATGTGTCCTTCACCTGTGTAGGTCTCTATGACAGTGACCTCTTCCACACAACACACAGTTTTGCTCACACCTATTGAAGCCAGTCTCAGAGTGTTTATCCTGGTTCCAAGCACAGTGCCTAGCCTATGGTTAAATGCTCAATAAAAATTTTCTGAATAGATGCTAGTCAAAGAGGTTAAATAAAACATATGAATTGGGGTGTTTGTAAGTTCTTGAATTTGTTAACACTAGAAGGTAGTCTTCAAATCATGGTTCTTGGGCCGTATCTATGTGTGGGGACACCTGCCCTGTCACCACACATAGATACAATCTCAAAGTAGCCACACCAGGCCCCCAACTGCCCAACCCCTTTGAACTGTCATGCCCCTAGGTCTTTGCTTGAATCCTTCCTACGGTTGGAAATAACTCTCCATCATATCTATATCCCCCTTCTCCTTGCTGAAATTCTACCCATCCTTCAAGACCTCATTCAATGCCATGTCTTCTATACAGCCTAAGCCTGACTCTCTCTGAGTCAGAAAATCAAGATTGTCTTCTTTCTCTGTCCTCCCATCAGACTTTGACCATGATATTATATTTTATTTGAGCTCTTATCCCAGCTCTTGCAGTAATAGTGTTGTTAGTACATATCTCTGTCCAGCCCTGCCCTGCCCACTCCTTGCAATGTGCCTCTGGGTTCCTCCCATGGCTCTAACAGAGCCTTACATACAATGATTGTTTATGAAGGATGCCAAGATAGGTGGCAAAGGCTCTGATGCTCCCAGGACATCACTTGCATTCAGCAGAGCTGCGTAAAGTCCTGGGGCCAGCTGCTGTGGAGAATCCGTCGGGGCAAGAAGCTGAGCAGGCAAAGCCAGCATCAAGGCTCTGTGCTGAGGGGTAATCCATCCTTACTTGGCATAAGCTTTCTCCAGCAGGCAGGGCCAAAACTCTTGGTTGTTGTTGCAAGGCTGCACAAAGAGGTATTCCCTGTTCAGGACAGGTAGGCGATCATCAACCACCACTTCAACCCACTGGCCACACTGCCAGAACTGGAAGAGAGATGAGTATATGCCTTAGTAGAGCTGGGAGGAAAGGGAGCTTCTGTAGCCCCAACCCATACCAAACAGTAACCACTGTCACCACATGACCTCCTCTATGTAACAGCAAACTCTATCCAGAACAAAATTCCAGCCCAGGTCAGTGGTCAGGAGTCTGGCATGTCAACTTCACTGGATAGATGAGTCACAGACCAAGTGAGTCAAAGAAAATACACGCTGGGAGGAAAGAGACTTGGGTTTTAGTTTGACTTTGCTACTAACTCTGGCCTCACTTTGGCAGGTCCTTTATGAGCTTCAGACACACAGGAGACTCTCCAGTTATATCTTATGCACAAAAGGGCAATACAGGGAACAGTTGCTGAATAACAAGGAAAATGGTAGATGCAGAGTGTTGTAATGAGGGACAGGAGAGCCTACCAGGGGTTTAAAGGCTTGAAAGAGGAGACAGGGTTTAAACAGGTGGCAAAGGAGGTAAGAAAGGCATCCCAGATGGCAAGGACAGTGTGGGAAAGGCCCAGAGGCCAAATGATGAAGATTTCTCAGGAGGACTCAGCAGTGAGAGCCTCGCTCTGGCCTTCCTCAGCTCACATGAAGCTGGTCCTGCCATCAGAGTAGCAGAAATGAAACTGGCTAGCACTGCTACTGCTAAGGGCACAAATGAACCAGATGTTCTTTTCCAAAACAGACTGCTTTAATCTTCAGTGTTCAACTCTTAATGGTTCACCTGGGGACATGACCAAATGAGGGAAATTCATAACAAAGCCAGCCTTTTGGAGTTTCTTTGTTGATCTCCCTTGTGCTGGATAAACAGCAGGGCTTCCAGCTTCAGGCTTGAGCCCTGATGAAGGCAAGTCTCTGACAGGTGGGCTCAGAGTAAAGCTGGGTGGATGTGATCTATCATCTGCTTGGCAGTGCCACCAAGGAAGCCATCCACATGGCCTTTTCCACAGCTGGATGTCCCAGATGTTGGGCTGTTGCATCCATTTGAGGACACACTTCACAGTAAAGAAGGAGACTGAGACAGAGATGTCAGTGGAGACAAAGCAAAGAAGATGTTTTCATGGTCATTAATAAGCTCAGTGCACTGCAGCTGGTTCTGGCACAGCTGTGGATTTGTGTCCCTACTGCAGTAAAATGTGTAGACAGGTGACGTTAAAGCCAACAGGGGTGTTACTAGGAGGGAGGTCATGAAATATGTTTGGCACACCAAAGAAAGCTAGAAGTGGATTACTGGAAAAAGAGCCTGATCTGGATTTGGAGTTTAACTGGATAGCAAACTATAGTAGACAGTGGTCAGTTAGTGGAACTGTGCTTGAATACTGGTTTTGCCTTTATTTATCTGAGCAGTAGGCATTGGATAAGACACTGATTTCTCTGTCTCAGTTTCCTCATCTGCCAAATTGTGGTAAAGTATTATAGCATCTTTGTTCAGGACCTTGGATAGTACCTGGTGCATCGTGGACTATCTGGAATGAGGGAGTCCTGGCTTGAATGAGCTCTTCTGGTTGGTTCCTCCTTAGAATTCACCTTCACCCCAATAGTCCCACATGAGTAATGCTATCACACTTGCCCTTCTTATACAAGGGGAACACCAGATAAGATCATCATTCCCAGAAAGGATGCAAAGTGACATATCAGATAAAGGGCTAGTATCCAAAATCTATAAGGAACTCACCAAACTCCACACCTGAAACACAAACAACCCAGTGAAGAAATGGGCAGAAGAGGGGCGCCTGGGTGGCTTAGTCGGTTAAGCGTCCGACTTTTGCTTAGGTCATGATCTTGCGGTTCGTGGGTTCGAGCCCTGCGTCGGGCTCTGTGCTGACTGCAAGCTCAGAGCCTGGAGCCTGTTTCAGTCTTTGACTTCCTCTCTCTCTGACCCTCCCCTGCTCACGCTGTCTCTCTCTCTCTCTACTTGAAATAAATAAAACATTAAAAAAAAAAAGAAAGAAAGAAATGGGCAGAAGACATAAACAGACACTTCTCCAAAGAGGACATCCAGATGGCCAACAGACACATGAAACAATGTTCAGCGTCCCTCCTCATCAGGGAAATACAAATCAAAACCACACTGAGATACCACCTCACGCCAGTCATAGTGGCTAAAATTAACAAATCAGGAGACTATAGATGCTGGCGAGGATGTGGAGAAACAGGCACCCTCCTACACTCTTGGTGGGAATGTAAACTGGTGCAGCCCCTCTGGAAAACAGTGTGGAGGTTCCTCAAAAAACTTAACAACAGAACTCCCCTATGACCCAGCAATAGCACTGCTAGGAATTTACCCAAGGAATACAGGAGTGCTGATGCATAGGGGCACATGTGCCCTAATGTTTATAACAGCACTCAACAATAGCCAAAACATGGAAAGAGCTTAAATGTCCATCAACTGACAAATGGATCAGGAAGATGTGATTCATCTATACAATGGAATGCTACATGGCAATGAGAAAGAATGAAATCTGGCTTTGTGTAGCAATATGGATGGACCTTGAGGGTGTTATGCTGAGCGAAATAAGTCAGGCAGAGAAGGACAGCTACCATATGTTTGCACGTATAGGAGGATTAGGAGGAACTTAACGGAGGACCATCGGGGAGAAAAAGGGGAAAAATATTGGGGGAGAGGGAGGGAGGCAAACCATGAGAGACTCTTGAATGCCGAGAACAAACTGAGGGCTGATGGGGGTGGGGGAGAGGGAAAGGGGAATAATGGGCATGGAGGAGGGCACTTGTTGGGATGAGCACTAGGTGTTAAATGGGAAGCAACTTGACAATAAACTATTTTAAAAAAAATAAAAAAGAATGAGACCACTAGCCTGCATTTCCTGGTTCGTCTGTACTTGAGGAAGGCTGGCATCTGAATAGTGTTTGGACCCTCCAAGAAGCATGCTGGTGCTGTTTTGTCAATACCCAAGTGTCTGAGGGAAGTGAGAAGCATTTTGAGCAAAGTAGCCCTGTTGCCTGGGCACTGGGCTCTTTCCAGAAAGTAGTGCCATGCTCAGAGTGATGAGAAGAGAGGTACAGAAGTAAATACCACAGCTGTTTCTGGAGAATTGTGGAATTTTCTCATCATTCAGAAGGGCATAAAGTGTCCTTCCTGTACCTCAGTTTCTCCTAACCACCTGTTACTACCAATACTTGCAGTCTAAGGTGATCTCAGACAGTAAAGCTTCCATCCTCTAGCTCATTCCTTGGTCAGATCCTTGGACCACCAGGATGAGCATCACCTGGGGACTTGTTAGAAGACCTAGTATGCAATTAGTTGGAATTTAGGAAAAGACTACAAAGTAAAGGAGGACACCCAGAAACAAAGGGAAATTTAGCTGAGCAGAAAAAGGAGGAAAGTCTTCAGAATGAAAGGGCTCACTGAATTCCAGCCAAGATGAATTTCAAAAAGGCACATATCTGGACATACTTCAGAGAAATTTCTGAACACCAGAAGAGAGAGAAAGTATCTCTTATAAACTTGAAAGAACATGTTGCACACAAAGCCAAGAGCATAGATTAGCATTGGATTTTTCTTCTGCAACATTAGAAGCTCTAAGACAAAGGAATAATGTTTACAGACTCTTGAGGAAAATAATGTGATCCGGGAATCTCAAACCCAACTGACATATCATTCTTAAGTAAGAGAAAATGAAAAATACTCATGTGATCAGAGGAAATTATTCAAGGAACTACTACCTATTGAGGATGAAATTAGAGGGGGACCTGGGTGGCTCAGTCAGTTATGTATCTGATTTCAGCTCAGGTCATGACCTCGTGGTCAGTGAGTTTGATCTGCAGCCTGCTTTAGATTCTGTGTCTCCCTCTCTCTCTGTTCCTCCCCTGCTCACACACTCTCTCTCTCAAAAATAAAGATTAAAAAAAATAAATTAGAACAAAAATCTTAAGGGGAAAAGAAAGATGAAAGAATGGTGAGCAAGGAGTTTAAAATATGCTTTCATAAGATATGTTTATAGAAATATGGAAGTGAAATTGATAAGGAAAGGGTGAGCAAAGATGTAATAGAAAAATGTAAATAATAGGAAGCCGAATTAGCAATGAGCATCAGATAAAGAAGAATGCAAAGCCCGATACATTAAATACAACAAAGAGGGATATTGTGTGAGCTTTATTCCAACAAGCAGTTAGCAAGGACATAAACCTTTGGACACCACAGAATATAATAGGAAAAGTTTAAAGCTAGAACATCAGAAAACACAAGAACCCTCCAAGGTATAATTCTGGGAAAGAAATTCAATTCATCTCTTTTAGAATTTGAGAAATCAAGCAGACACAAATTAAGTCAAGATAAAAAGCTAATTGGAGATACAACAATCTGCAAATCAGAAATATTGATTCCATATGTAAAACCTCTGACCACTTGATATTCTTCTCATATATCCATGAAGCATTTGCCAAAATTGTTGTAGACTTGGCCATAAATAAAATTTTAATAATTTCCTAAAATGTAAAGATTCAATGAATATATTCTCTGACCATAGTTTAATAAATCTAATACTCTATAACCAAAACTTAATCAAAATTAAAAGTACATTACTTTAAAATTAATAAAAGACATTTTATATAGAAACCTATAAATACAGAAGATCTCAGAGAAAACTTATAGTCTTAAAGCTTTCATTATTAAATAAAAAGACATAAATGTATATAGTTTCAGAAAACAAAAAATAAAATTAACAGAGAAAGTAAGGAATTAATAAAAATAAATTGAAATTATATAGAAAACAAAACTCCAAAAGAAAAATAGAAAGAATAATGAAAATAAAAAGTTGATTTGTTCAAAAGCCAATAAACAGATTGTTTTGATCAAGAAAACTTGGATTAAGAAGAAAGGGAAAAACGAAAACATAGTACAGGGATTGATAAAGTAGATTTAACCATAGATTAGAAGAAATTAAATGAATTTTCAGAGAATCACAGGAGCAACTTTTGGGCAATAAATTTAGTCCTATAGAAGTAAGAGTTGGGGGGCGCCTGGGTGGCTCAGTCGGTTAAGCGTCTGACTTGGGCTCAGGTCATGATCTCACGGTTCGTGGGTTCGAGCCTGCGTCGGGCTCTGTGCTGACTGCCAGCTCAGAACCTAGAGCCTGTTTCGGATTCTGTGTCTCCCTCTCTGACCCTCCCCTGCTCACTCTCTCTCTCTCACTCTCTCTCTCTTTCTCTCTCAGAAATAAATAAAACATTTAAAAAAAAAAAAAAAGAAGAAGAAGAAGTAAGAATTGGTTCCCTTGGCAAAATATAAATTTCAAGAATTAACTCCAGAAGAAATAAGAGACACCACTTTAATAGCTGTTGAACAAATTGGAAGAGTTAAAGAAATCATGTTGAAAAAAGAAGTAGTACCAGATCTTTTAATTATTGTCTATTTTACTTTCAAAGATCAGATAATCCATGATTAATAACCATTGTTCAAATTATTACAGATCAAGATCTGCAAAATTCAACAGGTTCATTTTAAAAAGCCAGCGTAGGGGCGCCTGGGTGGCTTAGTCGGTTAAGCGTCCGACTTTCGCTTAGGTCATGATCTCGCGGTTTGTGGGTTCGAGCCCCGCGTCGGGCTCTGTGCTGACTGCCAGCTCAGAGCTTGGAGCCTGTTTCAGTCTGTGACTCCCTCTCTCTCTGACCCTCCCCTGCTCACGCTGTCTCTCTCTCTCTCTCTCCTAGAAATAAATAAAACATTTAAAAAAAAAAAACAATAACATGTAAATGTAAAATAACCCAATACTTCTATTAGATTTACTTTCATGTTATATTGTAATTTGCATGCTAACACTCCATGTACTGCACACATGACAGATGAAATGTTCCCATATTAGTAAATTATGGGGGGAAATATGTATACATCTGNCAGAGCCTGGAGCCTGTTTCAGTCTGTGACTCCCTCTCTCTCTGACCCTCCCCTGCTCACGCTGTCTCTCTCTCTCTCTCTCTCTCCTAGAAATTTAAAAAAAAAAAAAACATAAAAAAAAAACTGTTTATAAAAAAAATTAAAAAAAAAATAAAAAGCCAGCGTAATTCAAACATGGTAAAAACAATAACTAGAAACTAATTCTACACATGATATAAATGCAAAAATTCTAATAACATTTATAGCAAATTGAATCCCACAGTGCATTAAAAGAATGGCATAGGAAGAGAAAACATCACTAAAATCAGAAGGCAAGACTTTAGTCCTGTCACTCTTATTCAAAAGTCCAAACTTCTAACTAATGTGACAAGGACAAAGTGCAAAGTGAGTTCTATAAATATTAGAAGTAGTGACAAAATTATCTTTATTTGCAGAGAATATTCATTAACTAAACAATCCAGATTCTACTAAAGGAAAAAAATTGGAACTAATCAAGGAATTGGGTAAGATGGCTAGATACAATTTAGTATTTAGTAAGGAGTGGCTTCCCTCTGGTCAGGAACATCTAGATAGAAATGAGAGGGGTGGTACATATGGTGGCTCAGTCGGCTGAGCAGTCCAACTTCTGCTCTGGTCATGATCTCATGGTTTGTGAATTCAAGCCCTGCAGCGAGCTCTGTGCTGACAGCTCAGAGCCTGGAACCTGCTTCAGATTCTGTGTCTCCCTCTCTCTCTGGCCTTCCCCCATTCACACTCTGTCTCTCTCTCTCATAAATGAATAAACATTAAAAGAAATGAAATGAGGGGGAAATCTCCTTCACATTAGGTACAAAATTGTAAAATATTTGAGAATACATTTAACAAGAAGGGTGTCACAGCAATATGGAAGCATAGCTATAACATTTTATTGAGGGGCATAAAACTAGTTCTGAATGAATAGAAAGATATACCATGTTTCTGGAAAGGAATAATTAAAATAATAAAAATGTAACATTTTCAAGTAAATACATAAATTTAATGCTACTCCACTCTGCATCACAGTGCCTTTTCTTTTTAATTAGACACAATGCTTTTAAAATTCTCATTACAAAATAACTGTGCAGGAATTACCAAGATATTTTTGAGGGAAGGATAATGAATAATAAAGGAAAACTTACTCTATGAGATGTTACAACTTATTCTGCAGCTGCTGTAATCAAAATGGCAAGATATGGCATAGGAATCAAAGCAGACAAAAGCTCAATGGTATGCAGCGTTCTTGATTAATGACTTTTTTTTTTTTGCTAAGTGTTTCTGCCATTTCTTTTTATTTTTTTACATGAAAACATTTAACTCCCATCTCTCCCATGCGTTGCCAGACCTTGAGCTCAAACCCTTCCTCAGAGGTACGCAAAGTAATTAACACAGAGGTGACTCTTCCATCTGAGTATTCCATGGGAATATTCAAGACATTTGCCTCCCTGTGCTTACAGTGAACCCAGGTGAGAAGTGTCCCAGAGGTGCACATACCCGGAAACGGAAGATCCCTGCATAATGACGTGAAAAGCTTTGGTCCATCAGGATCTTCTGCAGATGCTGTGGGTTTTGTGTCAAGGAGCCCAGTGCTGCCAGGAACCAGCAATCTCCTGTGAGGAGATGTAAGCCTTGAGAGGTCTATTGAACACATCTGGAAGCCCCACTCCACACATTTTACACCTTTTTCTGAATAATACATTCCTTTTCTGTCTAAGAAAGGGGTACTAGGGAAGGGTTCATGGGGGCCCATTTTAACCAAGACAGAGGAGCTAGTGATGATGTGGGGCAGTGGTGTGTGGGTGATGGGAGTAGTAGTGATGGAGTAGGGGTGATGGGGTGGCTAGGAGAAAGGTAAAGGGGGATGGAGGGTTGGTGATGGTGAGGGAAATCAAGAGACATCCTGTGCCTGGGTGGCTTACTCAGTTAAGTGACTGACTCTTGATTTCAGCCCAAGTCATGATCTCAGGGTTCATGGGTTCAAGCCCCACCTCAAGCTCTGCAAGGACAGAGCTTAGAATTCTCTGTCTCCCACTGTTTGTCCCTCTCCTGCTTACCTGTGCATGCTCTCAAAATAAATAAATAAATAAAAGGGAGTTAAAAAAAAAGGGGGGGGGGGAGCCCCAGCCAGGCCTCAACATGTCTGTTGGGCCAACCTGCCTCTGATTCTTATTTTGCCAGAGGAGCCCAGAGCTGAAGTCACAGGAAATCTTGTTGCCAGTGTCCATCCACACTGCACCAAGTGTGCTGACCTTGCCTCCTCAGAAGCTGGGGTAGAACTCTGTGGGTCTGGGTGGGCACCTCCTTCCATCCCTCCCTCCCTACTTGGAGGCTGACTTCAGGCTGCCTGCCCTGATCCAGGGCCAGGAGGAAAGATGTTGAGTCCTTACCAGCCTTTCCTTGTTGGATGTCAAATCTGCTGGCACCTTCCAGGATGAAGTGAGGTTCTGATTTACCTTCTAATATATCCTTAGGCAAGAGGGAGAAAAGCCATGAGCATCTTTCATTCCTCTATGTCCCTGTGCGGTACCCAAGACATCACTCACTTAGTCTTTGAGGGGTAGAGGTTAATTCTTAAATAGGTGCTTAAAATCTGAGTTAGAAAAGTCCCCTCAATCTTCAGATTTTATTGCTATCAGGAAGGCAGATGTCAAAGGGGTGTATATGTAACTGGCAAGACAGGCAATAAACGTATAAGCAAAATGCAAGGAAAGATAAATATAAATAAAGGCTCAGGATCCTTATGTCAAAAAGTCAGCCATCCTAGTTCCAACTAGCAGTGTTTTAGTAACAGGTTATAAACAAAAAAAAGATACATTTATTAGAAGACACTTTTATAAATATTATAAAGCTTTCCTTGTGAAGGGTTCTCTCTCAGCAGTAGGGTATTCTGGGCTCCAAGTTCAAGTCCAGCCACATGCTCTACAGGATACAAGATGTGCTACTCAGACCTCTGTCCACTCCCAGGCTAACTCACAAACTGATTCTAGAAGACCTCAGGGTCCCCTGTCTTGAGTACTGTTACTTGGAGCCCAGTCCTGCCCCAACCTCAACACACAGAGCACCTGGCAGCCACAGAAAGGGGTTTGCTAGAGAATTCTATAGTGCTGCAATGTCTAGGGAGAATTTAGGGAACTCTCAGCAGACACAGGATTGTGAGAGCTCCCGAAGGGGTTCCCATGGGTCAAGGGTCCCCAGGCAGCCCCACACATTTTCCCTACTGGAAGACTGCAGGATTACCCTCAGCACCCTCTCTCTGCATCTGTCTCCAGATTTCTACTGCATAAATTTGCATTTGCATACTTTGGTCATTTTTCCTGTATCATTTCTCTTCACACTGACAAATAAGTCCCCAGAGAACAGGCCTGCAAAGTGGAAGTGGATTTATTTACTCAACAGCCATGAATATACAGAGTGCTGTGCCTTAGGAGACCTGGCGGCCCTTTCAGAAACTGCCAGTTTCCTGGTGGAGATGCCAAGAGGAAAACAAAGGTGTGCACGTCTGTAAACACCTCGGCCCAGCTTACCTGGGAGGGGTAATCAGCTCACTAAACCTGTTCCCACTGCCTTCTCTACAAATAACTGGCCATCTCACATTCGCAGGAGAGGTGCACTCAGATTCAGACCCTCCTCATGTGGGGGCACCAGGCCCACGTGCCATGTCCCCAAGCTGGGCCCACTGAGTAACAATATCTGGGCAGACATGAGGACCTTCCCCAACACAAGCCAGCAGTGGAGAACTCTGCAGGGCCATGGAGGGAGTGAGTGTCCCAGGTCAAGAAAAACTTGGGGCACTTCAACCAGCTGTCCCCACCCTTTCTACTATTGAAAATGAAGATCTCACCAGCATTTGTTAAGTGAGATGCTTAAGATCTTCCACTCATAAGAATTGAAGGGAGAGGAGGCCAGTGGGCTTGGACTGGGAACAAAGATAGCTTTGCTAGGCCTTTCTGACCAGCCCAGAGCCCCAGCTCTCCTCTGCTCTTTGCTCTTGTCTTCCCTGCGGTGTGACTGCAGAAGGCAGGTGGGTGTGCTGAGAGTCATGGAGACAGACCTGGTGCGGGACTCTGCCCTGCCTTCTCCCTGGGTGACTTGTACTGCTTCCTTGACTTAGCTGAGCCTCTGTTACCTCATGTGTGACATGGAGGCTCTGGTGACAAAGCCATCGAGGCACTGGCTGCCTTGCTAAGGTCCAGGGGCTTCACTCACCCACTGTCACCCACTAGCCTTGCAGAGCAGGAATCTTTCTACCTAACAAATGAGGAAGGATGTGAATCCTTAGCGGGGCATCAGACAAGGTACATGTTCAATAAATATTGATTCTCTTCTGTAACATTTGCAAAATTAAAAAGACCATACTCATAGACAAACCCAGAGTCTCAAATACATTCATTATTAAACATGATAGAATAAAAACATGAATTAAACAGTCAACTCATAGGTGTTAGAAAGACAAAAAGAGTCTCAAATATAGGCAGAAAAAAGTGATAAAAGAGGACAATTAGTGAATTCTAAAATAGAAAAACAGCAAGACCAATAAAGCAAATAACTTGTCCCATTTACGGGAGAAGGAAGGTTTACATAGACCCAACCTTTGGCAAATACAGTAGGGAAACCCAACTAAAATTAGAAATAAAAATGAAGGGACATGCCTGGGTGGCTCAGTAGGCTGAGCATCTGACGTCAGCTCAGGTGATGATCTCATGGTTCATGGGTTTGAGCCCCACATTGGGCTCTGTGCTGATAGCTCAGAGCCTGGAGTCTGCTTCAGATTCTGTGTCTCCCTCTCTCTCTCTGCCCCTCCCCTGCTCATGCTCTGTCTCTCAAAAATAAAAAAAAAAGTTAAAAAAATTTTAGTGAAGTTTTAGCAATGTAAAAACATGATGTAAAATTCTATACTAACCAATTTATTTATTTATTTATTTTTAATATTTTTATTTATTTCTAGGATAGAGAGAGAGACAGCGTGAACAGGGGAGGGTCAGAGAGAGAGGGAGATACAGACTCTGAAATTGGCTCCAGGCTCTGAGCTGGCAGTCAGCACAGGGCTTGAACCCACAAACCGCGAGATCATGACCTAAGCGAAAGTCGGACCCTTAACCAACTAAGCCACCCAGGCGCCCCTATACTAACCAATTTAAAAGTAGTGATTATTATCTGACTAAAATTAACATGCCCCAAAATGATTCAAGTCAGTAAATACTTTCTAAAAATCCATAATTTTGTAGTAGTATTTTCAAATGATAAAAGAACATCTCCCTGACAGCTCTGTAAAGGTTTCTTTAAAAAAAAAAAAAAAAAAAAAGTTTATTGTCAAGTTCGTTTCCATATAACACCCAGTGCACATCCCCACAAATGCCCTCCTCCATGCTCATCACCCCTCCTCCCCCCACCCCCATCAGCCTTCAGTTTGTTCTCAGCATTCATGACTCTCTCATGGTTTGCCTCCCTCCCTCTCCCCCACAATTTTCCCCCTTCTTCTCTCCCATGGTCCTCTGTTGAGTTCCTCCTAATCCTCCTATATGTGTAAACATATGGTATCTGTCCTTTTCTGCCTGACTTATTTCGCTCAGCATAACACCCTCAAGGTCCATCCATGTTGCTACACATGGCCAGATTTCATTCTTTCTCATTGCCATGTAGTATTCCATTGTATAGATGAATCACATCTTCTTGATCCATTTGTCAGTTGATGGACACTTAGGCTCTTTCCATGTTTTGGCTATTGTTGAGAGTGCTTCTATGAACATTGGGGTACATGTGCCCCTATGCATCAGCACTCCTGTATCCCTTGGGTAAATTCCTAGCAGTGCTATTGCTGGGTCATAGGGGAGTTCTGTTAATTTTTTGAGGAACCTCCACACTGTTTTCCAGAGGGGCTGTACCAGTTTACATTCCCACCAACAGTGTGGGAGGGTGCCCATTTCTCCACATCCTCGCCAACATCTAGAGTCCTCTGATTTGCTCATTTTAGTCACTCTGACCAGTGTGTGGTGGTATCTCAGTGTAGTTCTGATTTGTATTTCCCTGATGAGGAGGGACGCTGAGCATCGTTTCATGTGTCTGTTGGCCATCTGGATGTCCTCTTTGGAGAAGTGTCTGTTCATGTCTTCTGCCCATTTCTTCACTGGATCATTTGTTTTTTGGGTGTGGAGTTTGGTGAGTTCCTTACAGACTTTGGATACTAGTCCTTTATCTGATATGTCATTTGCAACTATCTTTTCCCATTCCATCAGTTGCCTATTAGTTTTATGGATTGTTTCCTTTGCCGTGCAAAAGATTTTAATCTTGATGAGGTCCCAATAGTTCATTTTTGCTCTTGATTCCCTTGCCTTTGGGGATGTGTCAAGTAAGAAATTGGTGCAGCTGAGGTCAAGGAGGTTGTTTCCTGCTTTCTCCTCTAGGGTTTTGATGGTTTCCTGTCTCACATTTGGGTCCTTTATCCATTGTAAAGACTTCTAAGTACACATGATTTCCTGTGGAGTTCTCTCACACTTTCAGGGAATAGACAATTCTTGTATCACTTACAGTTTCAGTGAAAAGAATGAAAGGAAAGGATGAAAGGGGAGGAAGGAAGGAAAGGAAGGGCAGGAAGGAAGGAAGGGCAAGAAGGAAGGGAAGGAAAGAAGGGCAGGAAGGAGGGAGGAAGGAAGGCAGGCAGGCAGGCAGGCAGGCCCCACCACCATTTATTTTAAGAAGCCAGTATAGCCTAGACAGTGAAAGCACAAGAGCATACACATTATAGGCTGATTTCACTTATGGAAATATACCAAAATAAAACATACAGAAAATGAATCAACAAGAAATTTTTAAGACTTAACCTACTGTAATCAAACAGGGTTTGCCCTAGAAATGAAGGATGCTAAGATGATTTCATGTCAGGATATATAATAATATAAAATAGCATTTACATGCACCAAAGGAGAAATAATTTATATCCTTCTAATAAATGCCACAAAGGCATTTAATAAATGCCCAACTTTTTCTATTTACCAAAATGTTAAAAATTAAAATAGGAGGAGAAAAATATTTTAATGCTATGAAAATTAAATGACAATTATTGCAAACCAATATTCAACATAAAGTGTATGGGCAAACATTGGAACTGTCTTCATCAATGTTGGGCACAGACCAGCATCTGTATCTCATATCCTCTGAGTTGCCCATTCCCTCCCCACCCTGGGCTTTAGAGAGGTGCTGGATGATGTGAAAAGAGCAGAGGTAGGAAGAGATGGAAATTACACCCAGAAGCATTTTAGTCTGCTAGGTTGGTTTGCTGAGAGAATAAACAAAGATGAATGGATAAAGAAGATGTACTATATATACATATATATACATATTTATATTTATATACACACAAATATAAATATACACAAACAATGGAATATTACTCGACAATAAAAAAGAATGAAATCTTGCCGTTTGCAATGACATTGATGGAGCTAGAGTATATTATGCTAAGCAAAATA